CTACCCCCAAGAAAGCAAGCGTGGCAGCATCCTAGCTTTTCAACAGTTTTGTTTTAATAGGAGGATTTTCTCCCGCTGATAACCGGGGTTACTCAGGAGGGCCCAAGGGCCCTGGCCAGAGGTTTACAACCTCCCCTAAACTCAGGTGTTCGGGGGAGCAGGAGCCAAATGTTCTTTCTTCTTTTCCTGCTCAGTGAGCACTGGGCCACCGGTCTTTAAGGATGTGGTCCCTCGTGTCACCCTGGGTCTAGGGATGAATCATGAGAGCGACAAGACAAGCAACAGCTAAGAGATTTGCCCTTAACCCAGCGTTAACATCTGGGAAGGCGTTCCCCAAGGAAGGTGCCCTACACCTAGCTTCGGACCAGGAAGGCGGGCTTGCCCGAATTTGAAAGCAAATGGGTGTCTCCAGAGGGTGGCAATGCCCAGAGGGCTGACCGTCAATGTGAGCCTCCAGTGGACGGTTGAAGGGGACCCTCACTTGCCAGAGGTGGTTTGTCCAGCAGAGTAAGAGAAGGTGTGCGGAAACAGGGAGCAAGCGCACCTGAGCTCACTGCCCAGTTCCATGCCCTCCTGGTGGCCCCTGCAGGTGCTGCCGGATGCGATGACTGAGATGACCCGTCTCAGGTCCTCCAAGCACACAGAGGGGAACCCTGCTTCCCACTCTCCCCAGGAACCCTTCCTGTGCCATCAGCCTCAGGCCTCTGCCACCTCTCCCGGGGGCCTCTCACTCCTCCAGTGGCCACCAGGGGCCAGGTTTGGTTTAATAACCTGTTCCTCCCTCTTCTTCGGACTTCAAATGACCTAAAAGCAGAAAACGGTCGCTCCCCTTTTCTCAGTGTCTCTTTGAAACAGTCGTCTGAGAGAATGCAATGATTTAACGTCCTAGACTCAAACTTGCACTACCCAAGTTTTAGGACAGGTTTTTGCACTTTAGGGTTATGCTCGGCGAGTTCAGCCCTTTGTCCTCCTAGGTGTGTGTGACAGGGAGACCCCTGTTCCCAGTTTTCAGGAGCATCGGTGACTCCACATCGCCACCATGTGGTGAGCTTCTCCTGGAAGACCTGCCCGGAATAGGAATCGTTTTCTTCTTCCCCTTTGAATACTCCGTTTCTTTTCTATACCATTGGTAAGCACACTTCACATCCTCACAGCACGATTTCATGGCTAACCCTTCCTTGTAAGCTGTCACATTAGACCTGCATAGCGACGCCAGGGAGCAGCTGTTCCGTGTGCGTGAAGATGAGAGAACTGGCTTAACTGACGTCCCTGAAGTCACAGAGCTCATGTGGCAGCTGCCCCAGATCCCCTGCCCCAGGTACAGTCTTCTTTACGCTGTGAGAGAATAAGGGCAACCTTCACCACCCAGACCTACGCTGGCGTCCAGGACCCCGAGAAGAGCTCAGAGGAAAAGTGCTGGTCAGACTTCAGCTCACGGGCTGCTCTGGCTTGGCTCCCAGGAACAGGGGGGCTGGGGAGGGCAGGGAGGGGGAGGCTGTCCATCCCTGGGGGGGGGGGGGGTGGAGGGTGAGTGCTTCAAAGGCCGCAGAGGCATGGGGAGTGTGCCGTGCAGAACGCCGGTCATTATCTTTAATAGTTCAGACCTCTTTTCCAACGTGACTTCGGGGAACATAAAAATACGACCTCCCAGCCACCACCAGGCTAGACAAAGACTTGAACTTGACAGGCAGGCAAAGGTCCTTTGAAGGGTTTCTTTATGCTGATTATGAACTGCAGTCATTCTGCCGCTCAGAGACCTGGAAATATTTGCAACTAGACACACAGCCAGAGATTTTCCATGCTCACATTTTTCTTAGCCACTGTATTGAACAGCAGTTGGACCCCAACCACAATTTATATCTCTCCCGGGCATTTCTTAAATCCTTCCTGCAGACAGTGGGGTGGCTGTTGAAAATATCAGTACTTGGCCCAGTGCCCAAACTGGCCCAACATTCAAAACATCTTCTGCTCACTGAATCTGAGAGGAGGAATATATATTAGAGGTGATAGAGTTCAATGATATCATTCTAAATTTATCAATTCAGTTTAATTGGAAAATATTTACCGAGTGCCTAAATGAAGCTGGGGCGGAGTAGGTGTCACTGACGAGGACCCAGAGCCTCTAAGTCGTGGAGGGTGATAGCTGGGTGATGCCAGTTGCTGTAACAATAAAGCCCCAACTTGCAGGCTGAACACACTGGGGATTTGTTTCTGCTTCGCCTGAAGTCCAGAATGGATGTTTCCACCATGGATTCTCATCAACAAAATTCAGCTGTTGCCTCTGTAACCCCGTCTCATCAGCCTTTGTGATTGTAGCTAAACTGATTACACAGGTTTGCACTCTTCTGTCCTGGACATAGCTAGTGCCTTTTCTCAATGTCTTTAGCACGAAGTATCAAAGGTCAGTTTGCCTGGGAGATCACCCGGACATCCAAAATGCTGTCCTTCCACAGGGGCACCTGAATTCCCTATTTGCCCCCCGTGGATGGCAGAGTAAAAGGGCAGGCCTTTCCCTTTCTGGGGTGACTACACCAACGATGCCTGCTAACAGGCTGGGCAGCAGGGCAGGAGCAGACCGACCCCATGAAAGCAGGGGTGTTGGGGGGCTCGGGAGTCCTGAACAGATCCGGGTAGCCATCCTGGTCCATTCTTGGGGGTACTAAGGACGGAAGCTGAAAGAGATTCCTGAGACAGTAAAGGAAAAGTCACATGGCCGAGAAGGGAAGCCCAGACTGAGTTGGACCATTTGGGGACAGGAGACAGTATGGGCTTCATCCAAGTATTTTGCTGAGCCCTGTGTGAAAATTAACCAGAAAATTTTCCAAATTCCCCTGGGTAGCAGGTGTGGCAGATTTAGGCCACAGTAAAGTAGCACTAGAGACCACATTTTGCCGCATTTTGGGGGTATCTGGATCAATGACAGTCAAACGATGCCACACTGTTCCCAGCAGAGCGTTGATGAACATGACATTCAAACAGTTCACGTTCCTTCTCATGCCCACCGTGACCTCAGCAAGAGGTGGACAGGACTTTAAAGACTGACGGGAATAGGTTATGTTGTTGGTCTGACGGCTGGACAGACCGTGCGAGCAGCACTGTGGACTGACTGTCTGCACAGCGACACGTGAGCGTTCGTGCGGCTGGTGCTCGGAGGCACCGCCAGGGGCCGCCCACTTCTGTGTCTATGCCTGTGATGAGAAGCCGGAATCAGTGACCCGAGCACAGATCTGTGATATGTGAGCCCCGGGTCCTCGGTGCCCACCTGGCACTCAGCATCTGTGTACAAGCTGCTCTGGGAACGTGGACCAGGGTGGGGATGCTTAGGAGCTGCAAAGCTAAGAGTTGAAATCAACCAAAGTTAACAATTTACCACCCAAGACTGCCCCTGGAATTTGCAAGCCTTCGGTAGACACCAGAGTTCCCAATACAGTGACATCGGCCAGATTCTGCCAGGGCCATTCTTGTCCAGGTGACAGACAGTGATGCTTCCCACTCACCACCTCCCCTCCCCTTCCCTTCTGGCACCGCATGGAGACCCTGATTCAGGACATCACACACACAGGCTGACCAGCCTTTGGTTGGAGCCCGACAACGAGGACCTCGCCACCTCGCAGACACTCGATGGGCTGTTTCTCGGAAGCCTGCCACGGGCGCAGACACTGGTTCCGCTCTGGGCCCGTCCGTGCCAGGCATCACATCTACCCATTGAGGTGGGAGCACCCCCCCCTTTCCACACGGGGGGTGAGCCAAGGGCGCTCGGGTTGCTTCTCAAGGGTGAGCCACCCTGGAACGGAGGGGCCCCGAGTCTGCTCGCCGACCCTTCCCCGAAAGCGTGGCGGGAACCAAAGGAACGTAAAGCATGAGCGTTGGGCACACGTGTCTGAGCTCGCTGGGAGAACAATGACATGCACACTCATTCAGAAGAGAACAGAGACGTGGTGAGAACTGCGGTCAGACCTCGGGTGGCAGCAACTCAGGGAAGGCTTGAGGGTCTGCAGGAGCCCCTGCGGGGAGACAGGGGTGGAGACGGACATTTCAGACGGATGGTGGCCTTCGGGCTGGCGGTGAGCACTGGGAAGCTCCGCCATGAACACATTGTCAGGACCGGCTCTGCCCACCCCCCCCACCCCCCCGCAGGGTTACGTGGGCACGGATGCTTTGCTAACAGGCTGCTGTCTGCAATGAGACATAGCCACATCTCCTGGGCAAAAGCTATTTTCTAAATGGACCAAGAGCTTTCCTTTACGGTGACTTGCAGTGTCGCTTGGCCAAGCTGACAGTGTTTTGGACTCATCAGAGAAGCCTGGGTCTCGCCCTCAGCGTGTCTGAGCACGTCTAGCGCTCCCAGGCCATCCAGTGACTGTGCGCTCAGGCCACGCTCCGAGCTGCTTCTCCGCGTGTTGCAACATCAGCAAACACCGGTGCTCTTAGTGGAAACGTTAGGAAGCTGTCTGTGCCGGCCCCCCACCCGGCCTCTGCTGTCCAGGTCCTGAGAAGCAGGAGCCGGGGGACTGGGGACCTGGATCCTCCTCCGGCCTGAACACGTACGCGCTGGGTGATGCTGGGTCACTGGCCTCTCTGAGCTTCAGGCCACTTAGCTTATAACTAGGACTAAAGCTGCTGAAATCACAGGGATGGGTGAGGATGATGAGGGGCCACGTGAAAGGCACGGAGCCTTCCTGAGCCACACACGTGAAAGCAGAGGCCGACACGGGGGTGACGTCTAAAGCCAAGGAGCCCCAGGGACTGCAGCAAGCATGTGACAGGCATGGCGCAGACTGCCCCGGGCCCTGGAGGAGACACCACCTCTGACGACACGCTCACCTCAGACTTCTGGTGTCCGTACTGTGAGAGGATGTATTTCTGTTGCTTTAAGCCCCTCGGTTTGGGTACTTTATTGTAGCTGCTCTAAGAAAATAAGACTTCGCCTTAAACGGTAACTATAGCATAGATCTATTTTCAACAAGAAGATCGGAGCCATATTTCTGAAAGTACTGTTTTATTGTTCACACACGTATCTGCTATTTGCTGACCGTCCTCCAACTACAAGTCTAACCTCCCGTGTAATGACACGTGACGACATTCGTGTCTGGTTCCAGGGCTAACCTGGCAATCAGTGACTGTGTTACACGTTTAAACTTCCACAGAAGGCTCAGATGACCAACGCCAGACTTCTAGTGCTGGGACACAGGTGTGCACGCTGGTCCCTCCGGGGCCGAGGGCACGTCTCAGACGGTATCGTCGGGTCTGTAAACTCCTGAAGGGCAGGCTTCTCTTCCAACGTCTGGAGAAGCTGCAGGTCACAAACCCGTGCAGTGGGATCTGCTGACCAACTCAGTTCACAGAAGCTGAGTGGTTTGATGTCTATGGAAACCAAAAGTACCCTTTTGCATACTGCAACACAAATAAATATGCCAGAAACACCATGTTATCTCTAAGAGGAAGTACTGACATCATGGAGTACAGAGACAATGTACATGGTCATGGGGCAGCTTGTTAAATCTACAAAGAAGGCAAAACCTGCTCCTCTTAAAAACCAGGTATCAAAACAGCCATTTGATATATTAATATACTTAACATACACAATTTTCATTAATTCAACACGTATTTCTTCAGCACCCATGTGCCCGTCCTCATTTTGAGAGGCATCAGCATTTATTTCTATCATGGCATATCTATTGTTGTCATGAAATCTGAAGATGTTATTAATTTAGCTTCAAAAGTCCATTGCATAATAATAAGGAGCCCCCCCAGTCCCATTTTATAAACGCGGTTTTAAAAAGAAAATGCTTACTTTTTCATGGGTATAGTTTCAACACTATAAAATACAAAAAGAAGAAGATACAATTATTATTTTTAAAATTATTGTCACGACTCGACAGCTGCACCCCCACATTTTTACTCGAACCGGGTACCGATAGAACCAGTGCGGGAACGCAGAGCGAGAGGCGGGCTACAGGCTCAAAACACAAACGAGTGAAACAGTTACAAAGTCAAGTGCCAAGTCCCCGAGACAGAGGACCTGCAAACGAGAAACGAGAAGGCAGGGTAAGGAAGCTGAGACGATTAAGCAAGAGGAAGGCCATAGTTAAAGAAAGCCTAAGACAAGGGCTACAGAGAAAACATCCGAACAGAGATGACCCAGCCGTTTAAAAAGAAATCGAGTTTCATCTCATCAGAGCTTGTCTTCACCAAGCTCTTCGGGGGCAGCCACCTCGCCCTGGACACGCCCCAGCCCTGGAAAGCCACGGGCTTCTACTTACTCGTCGTACACGTCCTCCGAATCCATCCGCCGATAGTACTTGGCCAGCTTGACAGCAAAAATTATAGCCGGGAGGAGAAATAGGGTCGCTAGTCCTATGCCAAACCAATATAAATTCTATGGAAAAAAAGAAAATTGGGAGGATTCAATGCAAAAAGAAAACTGGGAGGAAAATGGGAAACAACAGTGGCTTGGGGGAAATCATTCTATTTTGCAATTTTAAAAAATGAGTTCTGATGTCGTTCATTGCAACCACTGGTGCCCTTGATATGAGCCAGTCACCGGGCGAAGTGCTACACATCAGTACAATCCATGAACTCTTTATAAAAACCCCGAAGAGATGCCCCTGTTATATTTATTTTATAAACGAGGGGCGGGGCAGCAGGTGGGAAGCTGGGTTCGCTCCGAGGACGTCCCGACGTGGCGGGAAGAGCCCCCCTGCGCCAGTGCTGAGCCGGCGGCGCTCAGATCCCTTTCTGACTGTGTCGATGTCCCGGTGACTCAGGAGCCTCTCCTGGCTGGGCTCTGCGTCAGAGCAGCGGACAGCAGCCTCCGCCCCTCCCTGTTACTCGCGAGCAGGCACCTGGTGGTTGGGCAATATGACTGGCAGGGGTGGGTGGTGAGGACTGGATGCAACGAGATCGGTTCAGAGCCAACCAGGCTGCACCTAGGACCCCTCCACGAGGGCTCCACCCAGAGCCATCGGCGGGGCTGTAAGAAGCAGGACAGAAGGGGTGCGAAGCTGAAGGAGGAGGAAGCTGCCAAACGCCAAGGACGGGGGTCTGCATGCGTGGGAATGTCAGGGTCAGTCCCATTCAGGTACAAAAGTCCACCCACAGGCAGATGGACACGTGGCCATGGGGCAGGGTGACGGATGAAGGAGCCACAGGGATGCCCTGTGATGGACAGCTACCTAGTTACCCTTCCTCCGTTCACTGCTGTGCCAGCAGATGCCAGATGCCAGCCTCACAGCAGTGCACACACTGGCCCATGTGCCCGTGGAGGGTACGGGCTAGTTGGTATGTTGTGGGGGACGAGTCTTCATCAAAGAACCACACAAACGCACAATGTAAACAGCAGACCGTCTCGAAAGGGAAAGCATGGAGGTCTGTGGGCGTGTAGAAAAGGGAAGCCAGTCTAGTTGGGAAAACGAGAAAAGGCTTCCTGGCAAATAAGCGACGTTTGAGCTCAGACCTAAGCTAAGACAATAGCTAACGTAGTGAACATCCATCGAGGGTGTAACGTACCAGAAATGGTGTTGAGGGCTTTACATGTCGTCTCTCCCTAAACCATCAAAACCACCCCATTTAGGGGATAAAGCTCAGAAAGGTTGAATGGTTTTCCAAAATCACAGAGTTCAGAAAATGTAGACGTGACATTTGGATTCATAGTTTGTTCTCAACCATTGTTACAAGACCTAGAGGGGTCAGCGGGGTGGGGTGTGAGTGTGGACGAGAAGAATGAGAGAGATGCAGAACACATGTCCAGTCTCCAGTCCAGGCAGAGGTCATAGCATGTGCAAAGGCCCTGAGGTGGGGGACTTGAGATACATTTAAAGAAATGAAAAGAAACAAGTGTGTCCAGAGCACAGCAAGAGAGGTGATCAAGGGGTCCAAAATGTGGGCCGGATGAGCAGGACCCAGTCGCGCAGGGCCGAGAGCGTTCTGATGCGAATCCTGATCCATATTTTGTATTTTGTAATTTTTTATCCTCACTCGAGGACATTTTTTCCATTTTTTGTTCATATAGAGTGGGAGGGAGAGAGAGGAAGAAAGAGAGAAACATCGATGTGAAAGGGACACATCGAGTGGCTGCCACCCGCACAACTCTACCAGGGCCACGGACAAACTGCAACCGAGGTACGTGCCCTTAGCGGGAACCAAACCCGGGTCTCTCTGGACCGCAGGCCGACGCTCTAACCGCTGAGCCAAACCGGCCAGGGCCTGATCTTTATTTTGACAGCAACTGGAAGTCAGTAAGAAAGTGAGAGGACTGGCTGGTGCACACAGTCGTGTATACTGCGAGGTGCACACAGCTGAAGAACAAGCTCGGTGAACTGGAACTGACCACCCCAACAGGAACCTCTCAACAGGATTTTAAATCACAATTAAATTAAGTTTGCTGTAGCTATGGGCTCACATATGTATGCTTATAATGGCACTAAGAATACTTCTGAATACTGAATCTGCACACCAATGACTATTCCTTTCCAATTATTCTGGACAAAGAGTTTTCTTCGTGAGGGTCTCCTGCCTGCTGTCAATATGATTCTAGTAAGAAACGAAGCTGTGCAGCTAGGTCTTTGACTTTTCTAGGGAATTAGGTATCAGAACACATTCATTAACATTTTAGATTTTAGGTCTAAACAGAACCCACCCCGGCAGAAAACGATTATAGTGTGTAGTTCAATCTTGAGGGGAGGGGGATCAAAGATGATGAGTTTATTGTCTGTCCTTATTTTGAAAGATACACTTCTTACCATGGGTTTGGTAATGTAGTTGCACAGAAAGATGTCAACAGCAGAGTCTAAGGCGGTGGCCACGGGTTTGCAGGCTGCGATTCGCTCTTTGATCTAAGGGGGAAGAAACAGAGGCCAACTCTGAGCCGGAGCGACAAGCATCCCCGAGAAGCAGACATGCGTGCTCCTCCAGCCTGTCTCACAGGAAGGAGGTCTGTCTGCTGAGATGTGGAGATGGCCACGGATTCCTTCTTCTTCTTTTTTTAATTCTCACCTGAGGACATTTTTCCATTTATCTTCAGATAGAGTAGGAGGGAGGGAAGGAGGAAGAGAGAGAGAGACACATTGACTGGCTGCCTCCCACACGACCCCTCCCAGGGCCAGGGATGAACCACAACGGAGGTATGTGCCTTAGGACAGAATCGAACCTGCAACTCTTTGGTGCATGGGCCAATGCTCTAACCACTGAGCCAAACCCGCCAGCCAAACCCGCGATTTCTATGGGTAGTTCTATGGTGTGTCAAGTAAGTGTTTGAAAGCAAGACCATGGTTCTCTCTGAGCCTCGGTTTCCAGTTCCTCACTTGTCACTTGACATTTGGAGCAACAGGACTCCCCCTACTGGACTCTGGGAGAATTAAAAACACACCTGTCCAGCAAAGTGTCTCAGTCTGAGTTTCTTACCTCACCCCTTTGTGATCTGACAAAGGGTGTGGGAAGAAAATGGAAAGTTGGTCAGCTAATAAGTGTACACTTAAGAACAGGGGCCAGCAAACTTCTATAAAGAGCCAGAGAGTAAATAGTTCAGACTTCACAGGTGAGACTAAGATGTATGTGTCCCAACCGCCCGACTCTGCTACAGCAAAAGCAGCCGCAGACAATATATACGGAAACTGGTGTGGCTATGTGCCAATACAGCTTTATTTACAGACACAGCGGTACCCACAATCCTGTTCTAGGGGACAGAAAACTAGGCACTCATTAATGAGGTGAAAACAAACAAGTTTAACAAATCCCTGACAGAGGCTCCAACCCACTGACTTAAGAGAGCTCCCTTCATTCACTCAAAAAACCTTGGAGTATGGACAATAGGATGAGTCATATTTCTTTTCCTTCATTGGTTGGTTCACCTGTACCTTAAGGCAACTTACGTTAATAACATTATGTCACCCAGCTAGTGTGGCTCAGTGGACTGAGTGTCATTCCATGGACTGAATGAAGGTCCCTGGTTTGATTCCAGATCAGGGCACATACCCGGGGTGTGGGCTCAATCCCCAGTAGGGGGCGTGCAGGAGGCAGCTGATCAATGTTTCTCTCTCACATGGATGTTTCTCTCTCTCTCTCTCTAAAAATAATAATAATAATAATTGTTATATATATATATAAATATTAATCCTATGTCTCTCCAAGTTCAAACTACGTTATATTCTCTTTGTAGGCTCTACACTGTTAGGTTTACAGAAAGAGGGGAGAGGGGTCGCATTCTGTATGTTTTCTGCATCTTGCTTCCTTTCCAGGCCCGTGGTGTGGCTCTGACCTACTTCGTACGAATGGCCAGCTAATATTCCTGCAGTGTGTATGCACAGCCATCCCTGTCCTGGTTCGCTCGGGTTCCAGAGTGATTGCTCTGTACTCCAGGTATGAATGTGACCAAAACGTGTCCCCTTGGTGTAGGGGAGGAGACCTGCAGGGGCGATGGTGGTGAGAACCACAATGCATTTCCTCCCCACTGCTCACCCGTGTGGGGATGGCTCACGCCGACACAGAGAAGACCCAGAGTCCTCACACTGGGGTGGGGCAGGTGTCAGCACAGACATTAAGAAGCTGGCTCTTAAAGGAGCACAGGTGCATGGCCACCAGAGGCATGGCGGTAGGGGCTGGAGGAGGGGGCTGGCCAGGGGCATGTGACATGCAGAGGGAACCGCGTGGGGACGCGTGAGTCTCGGCGAATCGAGCAGTTGAGTACGGTGGAATATGGGGCGGGGCAGAAGAGAAGACGGCGGGGCAGTTTGGGCTCACGTGGGCAAGAGTCAGGTTTGAGAAACCCAGGGCTGCTCAGGGGTCACAAAACTTCTCGGAGCTCATCTTGGCCGGCAGCACCTACCCTAGTTCCTCAGCGGCAAGCATCATCCCTGCCCCCAGTGGAACGAACCTCTAGGGCAGCCGGCCTAGCGCCCAAGATGACAAAAAGCGTTTCCAAGATGCCATAATTCTCCAAAAGCCAGGTGCTGGGGACAATGTGCTACCTTAAAACCACTGGAAATTTTGCTCCTCAACTTTTCTGACATGTTCATGGAGATCCAACCATTATGGACTGAATTGCATCCCCCAAAAGTCCACATGTTGAATTCCTAACCCCCAGCACCCCAGAATATGACCATATTTGGAGATACAGTCTTTGAAGAGGCAAATGAGTTCCAGTGAGATCATCAGGGTGGACCTTAATCCAACATGACCGCTGTCCTTACAAAAGACGAGGCAATCTGGACAGACACACACGGAGGAAAGACCACGTGAAGACACAGAAAGAAGCCGGCTAGCTGCCCGCCCAGGCGAGAGGCTTCGGAGAAACCACACTGCTGACGCCTCCAGACAATACATTCCCGCGGTTTAAACCATACCTGCTGCTCACCAGCAACGGAGCAGGCTCGGTGCCGCCCAGGGTGTGTGCAAACCACACTTCAAATGGACACGGCCAAGGGTGGCAAGAAGGTGAGATGAAGGTGAGCACAGGGAGTGGGGGGACCATGAGGGACACGCTTTCCAACCTGCGGGGAGGCCTGAGGAGCCACCCCGTGTGGACGACACTCGTGCTGAGTCTCACGGAGCCTCCAGCCGTGGTCCCCACGTTCACGGCCTTTTTCCTTATCTCCCACCAAATTACTGGGAATTTAATTTTATTTCCTTCTGATTTTCTCCTAGAAAAGGACCATCCTAACACATGACTTCCTTATGTTCATAAAGATAAACTACTTACGGAGATCTTGACCCACTGCATATAATGTTCAAAATATCCCACGATCGTGTTCCTGTAATTCTTACTTTCCTGGAAAGAAATCAGAGTCAAGAAACTGTTAGGACACCTACATCCTGCTCTGCGGAGTCATGCAGTAATGGTCGCACACCCACTTATTGGCATAATGATGTGTCTTTAATCTTACTTGAGCAATAACAGGGGAAAGATTGTTTGTGATGAAGTCCTGAGCGGCATCCAAAGAGGAGATGATATTGGTCACCTTCACCTGGAAAACACAGCAACAATCGACAGTGTCAAGGGGCGAAGGGTCTCACTGGAGCGTTTGCGTGTGGATGTGAGTGCGGTTAGGTCAGTCGCACACCACAGCTCGCTGGTTAGGGAGACCACGGAACCAGCCGGCGCTCCGAGCGGGGTGCAGGGGGGAACGGGCACATGGCAAGCATGTCCTCTGTGCCAGACACTGGCTGGCCCCTCCATCGGAATCACACCCCTGAACACTCACAGGCCGAAGGGAGGTACTGCCACACCCCCTTCACAGGTAGGGGAGCTGACTGCCCGACGCCACCACGCTGGGAAGCAGAAGACCTGGAATTTGAACCTAGATTTTTTCACTCCGAAGTCCATACCCTGCACGCTCACACAAACAAGGACATGGCCGCAGCCGACCCCCTTGGCAGCTTGGTGCAAACGAGAAGACGTGCCCAGAGACCTCAGGGCACACAGCCTGGCCAGTGGGGCTGACGTCTGACCCCACCGGCCCCCGTGAAAGGCAGTGCATGGCGGCATGTCGTCGGCCTGAATGTCAACGGCGGTTGGGGTGGCACGGGACCCGCGTGCGGTCACCAGCCCCTCTCTGGGTTCCCTTGGCATGGGACACACACCTGTGAGATGGCAACCATGACTACAGGTACAGGGACGGTCCGGAGCAGAGCAGACCTAGGTCTTCTGGGGAACTGAGGCCGACTCTGCTGCCCGGGGAGAGTACCGGGGCAGGGCGGGGGAGACCCAGGACAGTGTGGCAAGACTCCCGCGACGCAGGTGCGCACAGGAGCGCCGAGGAAAGCTCGGGGAAGGACACGGCGTTGTCTGTCGTGAGGCTGACCTCCGCAACCTCGCGGCCGCCCATTCCACTCAGCAAGAAACATTCCGAGAGCTGCCATCGGCATCGTGGGTACAGGCGAGTACCGCCAGCCTGGGCAGCTGTTGTGCCCTGGGGTGGACGTATTCGCTGTTCATTATTATTGACACCTTCCCAGGCATGGAGCCCGGGGCTGTACTTCCCCACTCCGGCGATGATGGCCTTGTCCTGGGACATGCTTTGGCCAATGGGATGTAGAGGAGTGGCCATGTGCTGGTTCTAAGAGGTGGTTCATCCTCTAATTCCTGTCCTGACTAGGAGGGCATGAGGTGACCCCCCTGGTCCTCCAGGCTGGCTCTCCAGGGAGGGCATCGTGGAGACGCCTGCAGCCCGCCCGGCGGTGGGTGGGTGTCTGTGGTCGGAAGGCCCTGGAGGCCGTGTGAGGCGGGACATCTCAGAGAGAGTGCCCAGTGCTTCTAGGTCCGCGCCCTGCGCCAGAGCACAGCCTTCCCGCGTCCCCAGCCTCGTACGCTGACGGGGCATAGGGAAGGGTGATGGCAGGGAAGCCCAGCTCGGGCACTGAACGTCAGTGGGTAACTAAGACTTTTCAAAACCATAAAGTACCTGCCAAACCAACACCTCTGAAAGTCTGTGTGCACTTTTATAAAAGACCCCCAGACAGAAAAAGGTAACAAATTCTTACCCCCAACCCGCTGCTTTGCTGCTGCAGCTCCTGGATGCTTTGGTGTAGACTTTTCTGATAAATAAACATAGATAATAGTTTCCAATTTATTACATGAAGCAGCAAGATCACACACCTTGTGCCCACCCCCTCCACCCCCACCCCAAGTCGGCCCTCAGATCCAACTTTACTCTCTAATGGTTTCGTTCTGGAAAACAAACCACAGACTCCAGTGACCGTGTGCACCTCGTGTACCTCTGGGGCAGGGATGCTGGGATCAGGTACGTACTCTAGAGCCTCGAAGGGCAGCACGGCACAGGCAAGGTCATTAATTAAAATAAAGCCACCCAGCCCTGGCCTGTTTGGGTTAGCGGTTAGAGCGTCGGCCCGTGGGCCAATGAGTCGCGGGTTCGATTCCGGTCAAGGGCGCGTACCTCGGTTGCAGTTTGTCCCCAGCCCTGGTTGGGGTAGCGCGGGTGGCAGCCACTCGATATATCCCTTTCACGTCGATGTCTCTCTCTCTCTCTCCCTCCCTCCCACTCTATGTGAACAAAAGTGGAAAAATGTCCTTGGGTAAAGAAAAAAAAAATTAAAAAAAGATAAAGCCACCCAAAGAGTGGCTTAATTTGTATAGTGTCGACCAGAGACAGGAAATCTTACCAGTTTAGGACCAGATAGTAAAGCTTTTAGGCTGAGTGGGCCATGCCCCGTCCCAGCCACTCAACTGGGCCCTTGGAGCCGAGGGCAGCCACAGACCGCCGTGAGTGCGTGGACATGGCCGTGTTCCAGTAACACCGTATCTGTGACCCAGGCAGCGGCCAGCTTTGCCCACCGGCTGCCGTTGTCGGGGCCAGCGTCTGCCACCCCGGCGTACCCCGTAGGTCACGTGTACAGAACAACTTGCCCATCTGCAGACAGGCCGCCCCAGCTCTGAGAAGGCCAAGGGCCCTGTGTCTGCCGGAGGGAAGGCCTGGGAGACACGGGAGACCCAGCTTTCCAGGTAACGAGCTGTGCTGGGCAGAAACCTGTGGCGACCACAACACACATGTCGGGAAGATTCAACAGGAGGACGCAGTGAGTACGCCAGTGAATCAGAGCCCTGGCCGGTGAGGCTCAGCAGTTACCAGAGAGACCCGGGTTCGGTTCCGCTAAGGGCGCGTACCTCGGTTGCAGTTTGTCCCCCGCCCCAGTGGTCGCGTGGGAGGCAACCCCTCGATGTCTCTCTCTCGCATCGATGTTCCTCTCTCCCTTCCCCCCTCTCTCCCTCCCGCTCTATCTGAGGATAAATGCAAAAATGTCCTCAGGTGAGGATGTAAAAAAAAGGTTAGAAGAAAAGAAGCGCGACACTGAAATCGAGTTCTGGAAGCTTCCGAGGCTGACTGAACGGGCTTCTCCAAACCGGAGCGCGGGCTCTGGAACCGGTTCCACAGGCTCCCCCTGCTGGGTGCAAGCACGACCCCACGGGCATTGTAACAGCGCCTCCTCTTTCCAGGGTCCCCCTGGCCTGTGGCGGCCTTGCTCTCCGCGCCACCCCTGCCAGAGAGGGCACTGGAAGCTACGCAGCCGTGAAGAAGCAAAGCAGGACTTGAAACCAGATCTGCCCGACGCCAGAGCCCCTGTTCTTTCTCCGCCACAACCTGCCGTCAGGGCGGAAGCGGAAGCTGGTGAGGAGAAGACAGGGAAGGGCGGCGGCAGGACGCGGGACGGGAGCGAGGAAAGGCCCATCGGTCGGGACAGCAGACAGCTACCTGGCGGCAGAAAGGAAGGGACTTGCCCTTCCCCCTCAGATTTTCGGCAGGTACTGGAGGAAAGAGTTTGAGAATAGTGAGAGTAAGTCCAGAACCGAAACCCCGGCACGGCAGCCAAGTGCGTGGCTCAGGGTGGGCTGGTCAAAGGGATGGCGTCAGCACGAGGCGTGAGCAACCACAGGCTCGTCTCCTGCTCACTCTCAGATGGAAAAAGGCAGGAAAACAGCAGGAAAGGGGTGGTGAGATCGAAAACGTGTCCTCTCTAAAGGCTGGCTATCATCGTTTATTTTATTTGATTTTTTTCTCTATTGATTTTTTAGAGAGAGAGGAAGGGAGAGATAGAGACATCCATGAGAGAGAACATCGATGGGCCGCCTCCTGCATGCCCCGCACTGGGGATCGGGCCCACAACCTGGGCATGTGCCCTGACCAGGACCGAACCGGTGACCTCTTGGGGCAGGGGTCGACGCTCAACCACCGAGCCACACCAGCTGGGCTATCGTTTACTTTTAAAGTGACCCAATTTCTCAGCCTGCGGCCCATTGGATTCGCCCTATGTGACATGCCCACGTGAGGCTGCAGGAGAGCCAGCGCGGTGAAGTGGACATGCTCAGGTCACAGTGAAATGCCACAGGCGGACTGTTACCAGTGACGATGCTAATGGCACGACTTCGCCGTGGTGAGTTTTTCTGAGTCTTTGCGCGCTGGTTGTCAGGGACCATTTCAAGTTTCCGGAGGGCTACAAAGAGAATAGAATAAACGAAGACCGACACCATTTTTCGGGATGGTGGTGGGCTCTCTCTAACTCCCAGCCCTCGTGGTGGAGGACACCTGGGGGCCCGGGGCTGCCGGGAGGGGCTGCGCCCAGACCCCAAACCCTAGAGCCACGAGCTGTGTCCCCACTCTCCACCTCTCACGGTGTAGCTGCTTTGCAGTATCGACGTCCCCGTTTTACAAGGAGGAAACCGAGGCTCGGCTGACGGTTTCTCTACCCCACCCTCCCGTAGTGTTTAGCGATGACCATGCAACTTCCTATGGCCCCCGTCCCACAGGTGAAGAAGCCAGGGTACAGACGGCAAACGTCTGGCAAGGTCCCACGGTCAGGACATGGTGGGGTCAGGATGTAAACCCACCAAGGCCCGGGTGCCCATCACCACTCCTGCTGGACCACTGAGTCACCAGCCAGCAGCGCCATTGACAACAGGGAAGCTGACGGGGCTGGGACGGCGTCCGTCTTCCCTTAGCCACTCTCAGTGGTGACGCAGAGGAGCCCGCGGGTCCCTCCTGTGCCCTCAGCTCTGACCCTGCGCTGGCAGAGGAGGGCGACGGGCCAGAGCTGAGCTGCTACGGACGCCGCCCAGGGGGCCGGCACCCAGCACAGGGCGGGACGGGCTGTGGGCGCCCTGAGGCCCTGGGGCCCTCCCACACTCACAGAACCGGGGGTGACTGCAAACAAGGGGAACCCCTTTAGCGGCTCCCCAGAGTCCTGTTGACCTTTGACATCTACAGCAATTACAGAATTTAACTGGGTGCTCGGAACTCACCAATTTGTTGGCTTTTTCGTCCAGGTCATCTGCAAATGTTAAAAGATCCACTTTTGTGGGCATTTTAGCTGTCTAAAAGAGAGATGAAAAAAAAACTTGTGTCATGGATATGGGATTTTTAAATCTTAACAACGTCTATAGGCAACAGAGTGAGCATGGTCCATAAAATCGGGGGGGGGGGGGGACTTTTTGTGTGTGTGTGTGTGTTTTTTATCCTCACCCAAGGACATTTTTGCATTCATCTTCAGATAGAGCGGGAGGGAGAGGGGGGAAGAGAGAGAGAGAAACTTCGACGTGGGAGAGACACATTGAGTGGCTGGCACCCACACAACCCCAACTGGGCCAGGAACAAACTGCAACTGAGGTACGTGCACTTAGCAGGAACCGAACCCAGGACTCTCTGGTTCGCGGGCCAGCGCTCTAACCGCTGAGCCAAACCGGCAGGGCAGGAGGGAAACTCTTGCAGGTAACAACACCTGCATTCTTCTTTGTAACATGAAGCCATGTTCTTCATCCCCACAGAGACACGAAGTGCCGACTGACACGTGTTACAATGTAGATGAATCTCAAAAACGTTGAGCTCCATGAAAGGGGCCAGTGAAGGCCATTAAACACAAAGGTCCTGCACTGCATGGTCCATTCATATTACATATCCAGAAAGGTGAACTCCCAGAAACAGAGCACAGGTGGTGGTGGCCGGGCTGGGAGGGGGGATGAGGAGCAGTCACCGAAGGGAAGCAGGGCTTAGTTTTGGGGCGAGGAAGGGGCTCTGGAGCAGACGGGGTTCCGCTGGAACAGACGGGGTTCCGCTGTGATTATCCTGCATGCTAGTGAACTGCTCACTTAAAAACGGCTGCTCTTCTGTGATGTGAATTTCACGTCAATTAAAAACCAAGCAAAAATAAAAACAAGCCAGAAACATCCCTGTGCTCTCGTGTGCCCTCCCCACCCAAGATTAAGCATGAACACACGGGTCGTACCTCCGCCAAGTAAGCATCATAATCTATTCTGTCCACCCCCGAGTGACCGAAATCCCGGAGGTTTTTCTTCCCGGCGGCGTCCAGCAGAACAACATTGTTGACCTCCATGTTCATATTGTCGAGGCTGCTGTTTATGTGTCCGGTATACTGCGGGGTAAAGAGGAAAGTCCTGAGCAAGTCCCTCCTCCGAGAATGTCACAAAGGGCAACACAATCACACTGGACAGAAAACAACACGCTTGCCATTGCCTGGCGTTTCTTCTTGACTCTTCTCTCCCCTCCCGCCCCTTCCCCGCCTCCTGCCTTGTGCCCCAGGCAGAGCACTGTGTGAGGAGGCAGGCGGGGTGCAGAGCAAAGTCCTATGGCATCTTTAGCCTCAGAAACCTCAAAGGGAAGACGCGGTGTCATAATAAAGGCACAGGAGCTGCATCAGGACACCGGGGGGCGGGGGGGACCTTCCAAGAGAGGAGACCGGGGATGGCAACAGAGAGCAGGTGGCTTCTCCGTGAGTCTCAACCAACAGAGATGCCGAGAGGGGCCAGGGGCTGCGTCCCGGGACAGGGCAGCGTGCACTGACCTCGGGCGGTTGGGAGACGTGCGTTCACGGGGACATGGAGGAGGAACTGGAGTTGTGCTAAGAGCCGGTCAGTGGTCTCAGGATGCCCGTGGAGCCTGGGTGTGCTGGGCCCTCTCCAGCCCCCCCCCCCCCCGGCACACAGGGAAGATGACACGCGGCGTGATGGCAACTGTGTGGAAGGCTTCTCTTTTGGGCTTGGTTACAAAGTTACACTTTTATTCATGTAGAAATACAAGGAATATTTAGGGAAGATAATACAAAATTTGTATACCACCTGAAAGATGCCAGGTTGTCATGACATCATGGTTCCCAGGGGGCCTTGTATGACACCTCGGTGGACAAGCTGTGGGGTTTGGGGAACATGTTCCCTGGAAGCCCTGGGCACTGCTTCCACTTTGGAAAGGCAGAAGGAGAAGGCTCCCTATATTTTTCCCTGCAGGGCTGAGAAGCCTGGGGGCCTCAGGGTGCAGGGGGAGGGGATGGCCCAGGTTAGTGCCGCCCTAGGCCCGGGCAGCTCTCGCTCCTCCTTCTGGTCAGAAGGGGTCCTTCCACTGTCCACTTCCATCCCTGCTGATTCTCGCTGAGGGCCAGCAGAGCTCAGGAGAGCCCCCTTCCCCCGAAGTCCCAGGGCCAGAGCCTTGGTTCTGAGACACGATGGTGGTGTGGGCACAGTTCTCGCTGCCTTATGTCCTCTCCAGGGACCGGGCAGAAAACGGAGGCCAGTCTTGGAGAACCAGCATCCCTGCGAAACGAGTGGGGTTTGCCCCTCCGGGAACCCCGACACTCGGAGGTAGAATCTTTCCCTGGAAGAGTCCTCGGAGAACCCTTCAAAGGACAATCCAGGGCAGACACTCAGGCCTCCAGAGAGACGGCTGGCTGGGAGGGGCATGCAAGTGTTTCGGAGTTAGCTAGAGGTGAGGGTTGCACCGTTGTGAATGCACACAGTGCCCCTTTACCCTGGGTGATGGATGGGACTCTCACCTCAATTTAAAACAAAGACAACTGGGTTTAGCTACGTGAATTCCAGGGCTGGCTCTACTTACCTCTTCGATGTCGAAATGCTCACTGATATTGTATTTGTTCTCCAGCTTCAGAGCGCTATAAATGCTTTTATTGTCTTTGCAATCACTGTGGGGATAAACAGAGCAACCATGAGCCGGACAGGCAGTGTGGCGACTGTCCACCGCTAGTGACGAGAGGGTGACTGTTTCTCTGTTCAGTCTGCGAACATAGTGGCCTCTGACTGGACGCAGGAGGCAGCCACCAGTGGTCCCCTAAACACCCTGGTGCCCACCATTCCTGACTCCGTTCCCCACTTTATGAAATGTCCGATCTGGGAACAGGTTCAGGAGGTAAAGACGCTTCTCTCTGCCTCTCTGTGCTCTTTCCAGGGCTGGGAGGGGAACACATGGACGCACTGGGAAGAAATCCATTCTCATTTAAAAACCCCAAAGCACACTTGCTAGAAAGAGGTGTGCTACCAGGCACGGGACGAGCTTCGCGCAAAGGCCCCGGGGAACCCCAGCCGGACCGGCTCCCTCCCTCTCTCCAGGGCCGAGCCTCACTTACTAAGCACACGGTTGACGCCCAGTCTCACGGAGGCACCGCGGGGCTACTCACACCCCGATGGTCAGGATATGTTGGCTAGAAACCTCACCTGACCTCACCTCTCTGTGCTCCCTTATCACGGGGACGATGCCTCCTCTGGGCTGAGAAGGGGCAGCCTCAGCTGACGCCTGTCTCTGCCACCCAAACAGCCACTTCCTGGGGCGTGTCCTTCCTGTCCTGCAGCCAGGGCCCTGCAGCCCTGAGAGGTGCCTGGGGGAAGGGACAACCCCCAGCCCTAGGAGGCGTGCTCTCCAGGGAGCCCCAGCAGGTGGGTGTCCTTGGAACAGAGTGTGATGTGCTAACAGTGAGAAGGAAGACCAGAGAGCCAGGGTCACAAAGAGCGTGGTCTTGCCTCCAGCACAGGGACGGTTAATCGAGCACGAAACTCCGGAGGATGGATCGTGTTGGCCTAGAACATGCTGCTGAGAAAAGTCCTGCGAAGCCTCCGGGCTGAGCAGAGAGCACAGCTGATCAGCACTGGCTGCCATGAGGGAGGTGTGAGGATGGGGTACACGCACCATTCATTTGCTGTCTCTACTAGAGGACATGAGAGACCCTGCGTTTTTTAAATCTTAATTGTTAGAAGTATCACAGATGTCCCTCTTTTCCCCATTAGCACCCTCCTCCCCCCGCCCGCCCCCCCCCTTCACCACCCTGTTGTCCATGTCCACTGGTTATTCATACATGCATGTAAGTTCTTTGGCTTATCTCTTCCCACGCCCCTATCCCCCTTCTCTCTGAGGTTGTCATTCTGTTCCCTGCTTCGGAACTGATGAACAAGAAAGGAGAGCCCTGGCCAGTTTGGCTCAGTGGTTAGAGCGTCGGCCTGCGGTCCAGAGAGACCCGGGTTCGGTTCCCGCTAAGGGCACGTACTTCGGTTGCAGTTTGTCCCCGGCCCTGGTTGGTCGTGCGGGTGGCAGCCACTCGATGTGTCCCTTCACATCGATGTTTCTCTCTCTCTCTCCCTTCCTCTCTCTCCCTCCCACTCTATCTGTACAAAAAATGGAAAAATATCCTCGAGTAAGGATAAAAAAAAAAAAAAAAAAAAAAAAAAAAAAAAAAAAAAAAAAAAAAAAGAAAGGAGAGACACTGGGATTTAATCCCTACGGCACAGAGAGGAAGTGGAACTGTGACGAGATCGGAGCCTGCGGTGGCAGAGGCAGGACAGCCCAGGGAGCCCTCTGCACAGCCCGGCCCCTGAGCTGGGTCACCACCGGCAGGCCTGTGATTGGGACCCGTCCACAGGACTCTCGTCACACGGCATTTATTGGGGGCACAGTGATCCTCGAGCAAGAGTTGACACAGGGTTCCGGTGTGCAAGGTAAGGCCACCTTCACCAGGTGTCCTAGTGATCACTGGACAGAAGGACCTTAAGACATCACCATTCCAAGGTCTAGAAGGTTTTCAAGGGAAGGATCATATTTTTGGTCTTGTTTTCACTATTTCTTTGCTAAGACTAGAGAACAGCTTAATTCTGAAACTGGAAAGTCTTATCAATCAGGTTAAAGACACTTTGAAAGTTAAATTCTCATTCTGGAAAAACAACATTTGAACTAGCAAAAAAAAACCACAATGCAATTATTTATACCTGTAAACGTGTTTAAAAGTGAGATTAATATCCGGTTTGTCAAATATCATGCCAGAGAGATAGTATTTCCAATTCTCATTTAGTAAATATGGTGTGTCCAAAATCTAGAACAAAGTTGAAAACTTCTTTTAAAAAAGATACTTTTACAGTAACATATACACATATAATAAAACAAATATTTTGTTAAATATATTTTGGAAATTTTCATGTCATGATTTTCCTCATTGATTTTCAAGTTAAACTAGAAAAAACAGTGTGATTAGAATAAATCCAACAAGCACAGGGAGCGTCCGCGGGAATTATGGGAATTACTTTTGGAGAACCCTACTTCTCAGTAAAACCAGCACATGAGAAGTGAGACTAGACCAGATGATTTGATTCCGAGCAGCTAATAAAAAGCCACAAAGTGGCTGACCCAGCCCCTCGCTACCCCTCTCTAGATAAACTGAGTCAGCACTCACGTTCTCTGACTCCACAGCCTACACATTTAACACGGCTGTACGTGTGCTTGGGGCGTGTAAATGGTCTTGAAATACCCCCTACTTCTTAAGGATTCTTTTCTAACAATTTAACACAGTAAGATGATAAGGTCTGGCTCGATGCGTTGTTACTATTAAAGGGAACACGTCCTTCTTACTCAGCGAAGCTAAATGTGAGGCGGTCCCTTGGAGTCTGGAGTCTGGAGGAGCTGGGTTTGGAGGGACAGAATGAGGTCTGAGTCCCCCTTCTAACTACCCCGTCAGCTCTCTGCCAGGGACAAACTGCCTGCCATGAGGCATGTCACTGATCATCCCTTTTACTTCAGATTTATGGCCTCGAACCATCTGTGTGGGCGACTGTCATCTGGGCAACTCTTTAAAGTATCAGAAACTTCCTGGAGTCTGGGAGGAACCCAGAAATTTCTCTTCCGATATTTCCAGCATCTGAGAACCCCTGCTGAGGAAAATGTCCTCCTCCCCAAATATTACCAGCCCCACTGATACACAGGCTTTAATTCCTAGTACTGATTTTACTTACAAAAAAATAACAACGACACCATATTTTTTTTTTTGCTCTGACAAATAGAAGGAATCTCAACTTACGGAATAAAAACCAAACTGCTCCTCTTTTTTACACTTCCCTTGAAGAAACCCACAAGATGTGGGAAAGCAAAGCCTCTCCCATCATGGTCACAAAAAGCACGTTTACCTGGAATAGCTTCTTGTTTTGGTAAGGTTCGCAGACCAGTTTTTCCACATTTCCACCAACAATAAAAGTAAGAACTACAGTGATCATCAGTATCCAACAAAAGAGGAAACTGACTCCGACGCCGCTGCAAAAAATAGAATCCAGTTCAGAATTCTACAAGGAATTACTCAGTATTCAGTACCACCTACAGCAGCTACTAGCGCCACATGTCCAGTGCAGGAAGGGCCCCGCATCTTCAGCTGTCTGCAGGTTAAACGGGTCAGCCTACCACGAGGGAAGACAGAAAGTGGTCTTTCAGTCCCAGGCACATGTGTTTAGGGAACCTTTATGGCTCATTCCCGGTCCACTTGCAGCCAGCACCGTAGTTCAGACATGGGCTCTGAGTCAGTTGAGTGAACCAAGGCTTTCTGCAGAGGACACAGTGAGCGGGGTGGTTCTGAAGCAGGAAATGTGCCCTTGGGGGTCTGAAAAGGGCCAACGTGGCTGTGTATCTAGAGAGAGGGTGCAGAATGTGGTGAACGGCAGCTTGAGGGGCAGTAGGGGTGGACTGGATAGGGACTAGTGGATCCAGGGAAGGGAAGCTACTAAGGGGCTTTAAGCACTGGAGAAACACAACCCAATTTCTCTCTGAAGAAGGATACTCTTGGCAGATAATGATGGGATGGACAGGCAACCTCTGTTCTAAGACAAGTTTCTGGAGTTTCAACGGGAACAAGCTAGGTGACTATGTAGAACAGTGTCTGATAACAGGTCAGTCTTTAACAAGTATCTGGTGAGTGAATAATGGATGGATGGATGGGTGGATGATGGGTGGATGATGGATGGATGGATGATGGATGGGTGGATGATGGGTGGATGATGGATGGATGGATGATGGATGGATGGATGGATGGATGATGGATGGATGGATGATGGATGGATGGATGGATGGATGATGGATGGATGGATGATGGATGGATGGATGAATGATGAGTGGATGGATGGATGGATGGATGAATGATGAGTGAATGGATGGATGGATGGATGGATGATGAGTGGATGAATGGATGGATGATGGATAGATGATGGATGAATGGATGGATGGATGAATGATGAGTGGATGGTTGGATGGATGGATGGATGATAGATGGATGGATGGATGGATGAATGATGAGTGGATGGATGGATGGATGGATGGATGATAGATGGATGGATGAATGATGAGTGGATGGATGGATGCGATGGATGGATGATGGATGATGGATGGATGGATGGATGGATGATGAGTGGATGAATGGATGGATGATGGATGGATGGATGGATGAATGATGAGTGGATGGATGGATGCGATGGATGGATGATGGATGATGGATGGATGGATGGATGGATGGATGGATAAGTGGATGAATGGATGGATGATGGATGGATGATGGATGAATGATGGATGATGAATGGATAGATGGATGGATGATGGATAGATGGATGGATGATGGATGGATGGATGGATGGATGGATGGATGGATAAATGGATAGATGGATAAATGGATGGATATGAATATAGGGAAAAACAGTAGAAATAAAGAAAGCAAACCCGGAAATAATTTTCATAATAGTTGCTTTAAAGAGGAACCCACTATAAATAAATAGCGTATTTAAGTTTGTCTCTTGAAGAAATTTCCCAAATTGACAGAAGTATAATCACATCAACACATCACTGAAACCCAGGGCTCAGCCCAGAGGCCACCAGATTCGTGGACCAGCAGAGTCTCCTCCCTGAGTGCTCTCCTCCTTGAGTTCCCACCCCTCCACATGAAGGAAGAACAAACACTCACACCATGAGGAAGATGCCTCCGGTGTTGGAGACACAGCCTCGTGTGGTTGGGGTGGCATTCCGGTCATAGCCAACTGTGCCACACAATAAGCCCAGGTAATAAAAAACCATGATGAGAGTCAGCAAACAGCAGACAACCAAGCCACCCAGCCACCTGGGGAAACAAACACAGTGGTATTATATGCAAAAGAAGTGACACCGTCAGAACACAAAAGCCATCAAACCAGGGCGGAAGCAACTGAGCGTAGCACTTGGCAACCCGGTATCAGGTGCCTCTGCTAATTCCTCGGAGGGTGCGCTGTCTTCCAACCCAACCGACAAGAAACCCTAATTTTTATCTGGGTTTTGAAGTGTTCTGGCTCCATGGTCATAGGATTGTTTTCTCCCTTTGCTTCACTTCCATGGAGCTCACTGGCAGAGTCTTTACTCAACTTCTCCAGGACGACTGGGAACAGTGAGCCTTAAGACTTTTATGTTCGCCCTGGCCGGTTTGGCTCAGCAGTTAGAGCATCGGCCCACGGACCAAAGAGACTCGGGTTCGATTCCAGCCAAGGCCATGTACCTCGGTTGCAGTTCATCCTCGGCCCCAGTTGGGGTTGTGACGGTAGCAACCAGTCAATGTGTCTCTCTCATCGATGTTTCTCTCTCTCTCCCTCCCTCCTTCCCACTCTGTCTGATGATAAATGTAAAAATATCCTCAGGTGAGGATTTAAAAAAAAAAAAAAAAAGACTTCTATGTTCTTTCAAGTTTCCTGATGCTGTATGTGCTCAGTAGAACGATGAGGAGGTATGAACATATCATGATTAGTCAACGGATAAAGAAATACTGAGCTCTTTTTTGGGGTCTTTCTCTAAAATATTTTGTGGTTGTAGGAATATTGGGAACCAGAAATATATGCATGGTGAGTGCATTGAATATTTTAGCATTTTACAAGCATCCTCAGTCAGATGCCTTCAGAATGCACATGTCAATCTCGTAAGGGTCCTGCCTGGCATTTTAGGGTAACGGAGCCTCAGGTAGGTCTTCCTGGCAGTCCCGGAATGTACAATAAGCTTTTCCGGCAGCTGAGGGTAAAAATGCTTCCCAATCTTTAAAACTAAAAAAATAAGGAATTTACTTGTGAGACAAACGCTCGCAACTAAGCTTTTCATTCAATTGAGAGCAATCTTGATCATTATAATAATAGCCACCTGCAGCCATTCTGTGGCATTTTGTTCCCGATCCTGGGGACACATAATTTAATAAACCATGGAACACAGCCTCATAATCTTTTACCGCTAATGCCTGCCTCATCTATTTAGGTAAATTTCTTTTAAAAATCAACTGATGGTCTCCGGGAGGGGGAGCTGACATATAGAAAGATAACTGTATCATTCTCTCCATTTGTGAAACTCTAATGAGATTGGAAGCTCACTGAGCAAAGGTCTGTCTCTTGTTTGCCCCCAGCAGGAAAATGGTCTGTTGATTACAAGGCCATAATGAACAGCCTGGTCAGATGGGGGTTGAAAAGGCACTTCTGCCAAGTTGTTGCTGCCTTAAGAGAGTCACTTCCCTCCCGAGCCTCAGTTTCCTGCAAAACGAGGCCATAAAGAGCATGCAAGACGGGGCTCTCTGTGCGCGTTATACGAGAAGTCACCCGTGCAGCACTCCGTGGGCAACTGTAGCAGTTCCCCAAGGGCTAGTGATGATCCTTATGGTTTATCTCGTGCTCCTGCATAATAAGCGACCTGAACAGGAATGAATGTTTCCGGACTGTCCCTGGGTTGGGCTGCAAGAGCAGTTCGAGGGGCGGGTCACAGGCTAAGCCTTTCAGAGAGGGGAGCGCATCTTAGCATCTCACCTGACTGTCTGGATACCTGGTCTCCAAGTCCTTCCCTCCCTAGCACTGGGTCTGAGATGCCCATCGGCACCTGCCAGGCCAAACCCACCCGCTAGCACTTTCTCACAGGGAAAACACCTGCTCACCTGAGCTCCTTGAATGATGGACTGGGTCCAGGGATGCTATTTCTGTAAGCAACCTCTCCATATGTATTTATAAACCAGTGATGGAAAGACCATTACCCATATACCCTTGTTTTTCTTAATTACTTTTTTATTTTTTATCCTCACCCGTGGACATTTTTGCATTTATCTTCAGATAGAGCGGGAGAGAGAGATGGAGGAAGAGAGAGAGAACCATCGATGTGAGAGAGACACATCGAGCGGCTGCCACCCACACAACCCCTGACGGGGACGGGGCCAAACTGCAACCAAGGCACATGCCCTTAGCGGGAACCAAACCCGGGACTCTCTGGTCCATGGGCTGATACTCTAACCACTGAGCAAACTGGTCAGGGCCTTCTTAATTACTTTTTAGTTATAATCCTGGTATATGCCTTAGATACTTGGAACTAAGATTCTAGAAGCCACTAGTGACATCAAAATTGCAACTTATTAATAATTTGGCTCAAGCCCTGGCCAGTCACAGGTTCAATTTCTGGTCAAGGACATGCACTTGGGTTGAGGTTCATCCCCAGCCCTGATCTGGGTCGCAAGGGAGGTGACCAATTGGTGTGTCTCTCTCCCGTAGCTATTTCTCCCTCCCTCCCTCCCTTCTATTCTATCAAAAACAAAACAAAACAAAAAAAACAATGGAGCCCTGGCCGGTTTGGCTCAGCGGTTAGAGCGTCGGCCTGCGGCCCGGAGAGACCCGGGTTCGGTTCCCGCTAAGGGCACGTACTTCGGTTGCAGTTTGTCCCCGGCCCTGGTTGGTCGTGCGGGTGGCAGCCACTCGATGTGTCCCTTCACGTCGATGTTTCTCTCTCTCTCCCTTCCTCTCTCTCCCTCCCACTCTATCTGTACAAAAAATGGAAAAATATCCTCAGGTGAGGATAAAAAAATAAATAATAATAATAAAAAAAAAATGGAAAAATATCCTCAGTTGAGCGAGCATTAACAACGACAAAAACTTAATAATAATTTGGCTCAAGAACTCCCAGTCTTCAAATTAAATAAAAACATGAAATGCTTCATGAATTTCCAGGTCACCGCTTCAGGGACTAGGCTAATATTCTTCATATAGTTTCCATTTTACTTTATTTCCGTAATATATTTACTTACAAAGTTTTTATAATCTGTGATTCTTTTTTCAAAATTACAGTTTACATAAACCATTATTCTGTATTAGTTTTAGATGTACAACATATTGGTTCGATAACTGTATACTTTACAGAGTGGTCCTTTCAACGAAGGGATTAAGAAGTACACATTAGCCCTGGCCGGTTTGGCTCAGCGGTTAGAGCGTCGGCCTGCGGACCAGAGAGCCCCAGTTTCGGTTCCGGCTAAGGGCACGTACCTTGGTTGCAGTTTGTCCCCGGCCCTGGTTGGGGTCGTGTGGGTGGCAGCCACTCGATGTGTCTCTCTCACATCGATGTTTCTCTCTCTTTCTCCCTCTCTCCCTCCTGCTCTATTCTGAAGATAAATGCAAAAATGTCCTCAGGTGAGGATAAAAAAAAAAAAGTACAAATTAGTAGTTACAGAATAGTCACAAAGATATAAAGTACAGGTTAGGGAAAATAGTCAGTATTGTAATAACTATGTATGGGGCCAGGGGTGTACTGGAAATATCGTATACTTTCAATTTTAGTGTATGTCCTGATGAAGTGAACACTTCAACTTTTTTAATGAACGTAAACTAGGGTAAATACATCAGGTTATGGCCTCCCCATACAACTTGGTCTCCTAGGACTATACTGGTCAGGATGTTAAATTTACCCGGGCCCACAGCCAGTTTCACCCTCCCGTCCCCGGCCGAAGAGGCACTCACCAGCAGACGTAATACTCTTCCAACTTGGGCAACAAGTGGCGGATGTACGATTCGGCGTAACTGATATGACCCAATAAATCTGACATCTTATCCTGAAAATAAATCTTTTCGTTTATAGTTTCGACATTCAGCCCAATGGCATTCAAGGTGTTTTTGATACCTGAAAACAAAAACACCTCCGTCACGCATTTTCACATCCACAGGGAACAGAAACTTTGTTTCGGCACCAAAACTGAAAAACTGGAACCACGTTTACTTTTTCCCGTGCTATGTATGTGCTTAAAATAGGACACGTTCTGTACCAAGCATGGGTGTAGCCAAGGCCACCGAAAAGCAATTACTCAACAAAACGGCAAGCTGTGAGGGTGGATTTTGGTGATATGGTGCTGAAACCAAGCCAGAGTTTTCTTCTCTTTATTTAAAAGAAAAAAAGAGGGTCAAATGATTAAAATGTACCGTGTACCGAGGGGGCCAGGCACTTTGATCAATGTGAACTCATTCATTCCACCGAGGCAGATACTCTTATTCCCATTGAAGAACAGTGACCCCGGGGCTCATGGAGGTTAAATACTTGCCCATATGTCTCTTTTTCAGAAAGCACTAGAAACAGAGTGTATCTAATGCTAAGGCTTCTGTTAGTGATTTCAGAAAAATAATTTAATAATATAACAAGTCCTCCATCTAAGAGGCGGCACATTCAGAATCACCCCAATTGTCCAGGGCCAATGTCTTGAACAAGTGACCCCAGGTGGAATTTCTGTTAAATTGTGAGGCTTAACCAAAATGAGACTTGTTCGAGCACATCTGTACTTCCTACATCCCCATCTTTCAGAGAGGAGGCAAGTTCTAGCTGTTCTGGAAAGTGTCCGTCATGACAGGTCCTGGGATAAAGCTGGCTGGGGTGTGGGCTGTCGCCTAGTCAGACACTCACACGAGGTCTGAAGTTGGCTTCTTGACATGGATGTACTGAGGCTATGCGTCACTTAAAGGTCCCGATCCTGAAATCTCTCTGCAGCAGCTGAGAAAAGACGAAGTTCTCACTGTGCGATCCTGGTCTCCTGGTCAATTCCAGGTAGATGGTAGTTGGGTCCAAAACAGAACTACATAAAAATGGTGGGGCCCTGACCCCAGTGTGGCTAAGTGGTTAGAGCGTTGGCCCTCGAACAGAAGGGTCACAGGTTCGATTCCCAGTCAAGAGCACAAACCTGGGTTGCAGGTTTGATCCCCGGCCCCATTTGGGGTGCATGCAGGAGACAACCCATCAGTGTGTCTTTCTCACATCAATGTTTCTCTGTCTCTCTCTCTCCCCCTCCCTCCGTCCCTTCCACTCTATCTAAAAATCAATGCAAAAACATCCTTGGGTGAGGATTAACAACAACAAAAATGGTAGAAACCTTTTTCAAAGTGTTGTTCACAAAGACATGAAATCTCGACAGCCTGTAGGAGGGGACTGTCCTTGAGCAGGGGCTCGATGCTTCTTCCAAATGGCTTGTGTGCCCAAGCCCCCAGGATCCTCAACGCGCTGACTCCGTGGGCCTCTCTCGTACCTCTGTGATTTCTGGGAGTCCGAGAGGTGAGGTCTCTAGATTCCCCCTCCCCTGTGGACAGTTCCCTAAACTCAGAATCGGGCCCCTTCTGCTTCTCAAGCTGTCCCGCACCCTCACACAACACAGCCCCCCGCCCTTGCGAGCTCCAGTGACTCTGTATGTGCCTGGAGCCCTCTCTTGGCTAATACCTCCCTCAGGCCTCAGAAGGTGCTTCCTCCAGGAAGCCCTCCATCACCCTTGCCCCACCTTGGATCTCTTGCACGTACCCAGACGTGTAAGCAGAGTGTGATCAAGGGCGCCTGTACATATGCCCGGCCAAAAGGGCAGCAGGGCCAGGCCTTATTCCTCTCCCATCCCAGAGCCCAGCAGAACCTGCAGATGCTTACAACGTGTGTGCGCGACAGGACCGGACCATCAGGACGTGGGAGCTAAGGGGTTCTGTCTGTTTCGGAAGAACATGAGAATAAGCCATTCACATTGCGGCTGATGGCGTGGTCCTGGCGCAGCCCCGGGAAAACTCTGGCTTGTGTTTAGGCAATGATGATGGTGCCACAGTGGGGCTCACGCACACCGCACACCGTGCTGGGCCAGACTTACAAAGGAGGGCGGCACGGACTGGCAGGAGAGGTCCAGGGAGGGGCGACAGAGAAAGTAAACACAGATTAGTGAGCACGTGGCTGTCGACGCACAACAGGAGTCCGCCTCCAGCCTTCGCGCAGGACAGCGGAGCCCTGACTTCAGTGCCTGAGCATTTCCAGGTGGACGCTGAACAAAAGGGAACCCACAAGACAGCCAAGGCACTAGGCAGTGGGAAAGAGCTTTTTTTTTTTTTAACCCCAAGTCTTAATGGGTTGAAAGAATATTAATGGGGGGAAAATCAAGTACCTCTAGCACAGCGTTTCAAACCACTCCACGAACAGATAAGCAGCACTGAGAAAATGGTTTGTTTGAGAGAGACGATGTCTCGCGCAGCGTCAGAGATTCTTCTCAAGGCAGCTAAGCCCGGTTTACCCCCAAGTCCTGCACCAAGAACTGCCTACGCTGCACGGTTCTCTGCGCATCCACCCTCAATGCCAATCTCAATGCAACCCCAGTCACCGCTCAATGGGCGACTGCGCTCAACATCCGCCTCTCTCCAACACTGTGAGCGACCTTCAGAACCCAAACCACCATTACGCCAGCATCGGAGGGCAAATAAACATCTTCCTCAAAGACAAAAGGAATCCTTATACAGTATTCCTTTAAAAAAATATTGATTTTAAGTTCTTTTAGGAAATAAGGTCATCTCCTGTCTTTTCCCCCGTGAAACTCATCGCAACATGACCTTTGGAGCTTTGGCATGTCTCTCCACAGTGTGGCCCTCGGCCAGGCAGCTCCCGCCGGCCGGGTGACGCGGATCTGTGGTCAGTAGAAGAATCGTTGTTTTTTAAATCGACACGACTGGAGATGGTGGCACCATCGGAAAGCTCTGATATTTGTTTAGTTTTCTAGGTTTCAGTGAGAGAAGATTTTTTAAGAGGGAAGACGAACAATGCAACTCTTCACACATTCCTTTGCAGTAACCATCCCAGGCTGAACAAGGAAAGAGACTAATGTATTTCAGATGGTGACTCACCTGACACCATGTCCGCGGTTTGGTTTTGCATCATCTCAGGTATATCATTAAAGGATTTATAGCCCTAAAAAATAGTTCAAAATAAATTGACGGACATAGTAAGTAGAATGGCAGTTAACGGGTACTCGTCTGGGATGGAATAGAGAAGCAAAATAAAACGTAACATATACTTTAGGGCAGACGTTATTGCATGGTCATTAAAAGTCTGAAAAAAAATCCCAGTAGAGGGGACTTGCTTTAAATTGTATCCACTAAAGATCATGCTCGAAGTTTTTAATTTTTAACTTTAAAAAATATCTATAGTTTTACTGATTTTAGAAAGAGAGAGGAAGGGAGAGGGAGAGAGACACATTGATTAGCTGGCTCCTGCATACCCCCTACTGGGGCATGTGCCCTGACCGGGAAATGAACCTTTGATGTCTAGGTGCCTGGAATGACCCTTAACCAACTGAGCCACACCAGCCAGGGCTTTAATATTTTTTTTTATTCTCATCTGAAGACATCTTTGCATTTATCTTTAGATAGAGCGGAAGGGAGAGGGGAAGAGAGAGAGAAACATCGATGTGGGAGAGACACATCAACCGGTCACCACCCACACAACCCCAACTGGGGCCGGGGACAAACTGCAACCGAGGTGTGTGCCCTTAGCGGGAACCGAACCCGGGACTCTCTGGTCCGCAGCCGACGCTCTAACTGCTGAGCTAAACCGGCCAGGGCTAATTTTTAACTTTTAACTTATGTTAAAAGTTTACATGTATCTATACTGTACCAGTGTTTCTTGAATGGGGGCAGTTTTGTCCCTCAAGAAGACGTTTGGCAAAGTCTAGGGACATTCTGGTTACCACAATTGTGGGGTGCTCCTGGCACTGTGCAGGGTGGGGTTGGGGATGCTGATGAATACCCTGCAATGCACAGGACAGTCCCACCCACAGGATCATCCAGCCCACAGTGTCCATGGTGCTGAGCCCTGAGCCACACCAGGTGCAGACACGGATCCACGTGTGACCCACGCATGAGAATTGCTAAATATAGAATCTCGTTTTCCAATGCAATTACAAAATGAAATTGGAGATCCAGTCTCATGGAAAACAGTGCTGTCCAAAAACAGGGCTTGTAGAGAATATAAGCTGTAGTGCGGTGAAAACAGAAACAGAGACAGCGTGCTGAGCTAGACCACGTTGGGGAGAGGTCAGTGACAGGGACATGTCATTATTTCCAAGTCACTCACCGAAACATCCAGCCTTTTCTCTGGAAGGGGTTTAATTGTGTTTCTTTATGTCAGCTGGTGTAGTCAACCATCTGCTTGGGAACACTGTAGCAACTGTAACCTGTTCTGACTGAACATCTGTGTCCCCCTGCAATGCAAATGTTGAGATCCCAACCCCCGAAGTGACGGTATTAGGAGGTGGGCCTTACGGCAGGAGAGTGCAGCCTCGTGGATAGGATCAGTGCCCTAAAAAGGAACCCCAGCTCTGGCCTGTTTGGCTCAGTAGTTAGAGGGTCGGCCCAAGGACCAAAGGGTCTCAGGTTTGATTCCCAGTCAAGGGCACATACCGGGTTGCAGGTTCAATCCCCAACCACAGTGGGGGCGCGTGTGGGAAGCAACCAATTGATGTGTCCCTCCCACATCAATGTTTCTCTCTGCCTGTCTCTCTCTCCCCCTCCCTCCCTTTCACTCTACCTAAAAGTCAATGGGAAAATACCCTCAGGTGAGGATTAACAAACAATAAAAAGTAGTTAAAGGAGCCCCCGAGAGCCCTCCGCAGATCATGCTGGAAGGACGCGATGAGAAGTGACCGCCTGCGGTCTGGGAGGGGGTCTCGTCAGAACCCAAACAGGCCGGCACCCTGAATGCCAGCACAGAACTGTGAGAGGCACGTTTCTGCTGTTTGGAAGCCACCTGGTCTACCATACCCTTTTACAGCAGTGCGATCCAAGCTACCAGCCGGGTCGGACCCATGGTGCCGGCCGGTTCCGCGGTGGCCTGGCAACGCCGATGACGGAGGACGGAGGACCGTGTCCTCAAGGATGCCCACCTACCCAGCTCCCGGGCGGTGCCGGCCGGCGGTGCGCCTGCGCCCGCCCCGTCTGTGTGGGGCCGTGCGGGTCCTATGGCAGGAAGGAGCCTGACAGCCTCCTAATTCAGCTCCTCTATTTAACAACCACGTGACCCCAGAGTCCCAAGACCACGGGTGTCAATGACGTGTTTAAGGGGATATGCACTCTGTTTAGACGTAGCTGAGTTCAGTGGGTAGTTGATGACATTTTTATACCCATGCTGAAAGACGTAGGGTCAAGAATAGAACGTTTCTCTGCCTTTCCTACCGGGCAGGGGCACTGCTACTGAATCCTGACGGCAGAGAAATACCCACTGTGCACGCAAGGTCTCGGCAGGATAGAGCAACACCGGCAGGATCTCGGGGACTGTGCCACCCCGGTCCCTGCCTTTGCTTAGGGGTTGCAGTCCTGGGACAACCCGGACATAAAAGCAGTATTTATAGCTAGGAGGAACTTAAAGAATACATGCAATGCTCTAAGCATGCACTGAAAAGGGGTTTGGGGGGGAAAGGAGGGATACCTGTAATACTTTTAACAATGAAGACAAATTTTTTAAAAAACATGTTTTTAAAGGGGGTTTTGACCTGGTCAAAGTGTCCAGGAAAGGCCTCACTAGGAAAGCGACACACGAGACAGAAAGCAGCCCGCCCGCGCCCAGTAGTCTCAGCAGCTGGGCACAGGCCATGAAAGAAGCCGGTGCCAGGCACAGGGACAGCGTGCGCAGCGGACAGGGGGGCCGCGGGGGGCAGACGGCCGAGCAGCTGATGTCGGAGTTAGCGTGAAGTCCAGCACCCCACCCACCCAACTCTGAGCCCTGGGAAGGTGAGGCCATGTGTTTCTTGTTATCTTCTTGGTCCTAACATGGTGCTTTGCACATGAGAGATGCTTCATAGAAAGTTCTCGAACTGGAAGGATGAACACAATTATGTGGAAGTGAATGGTGCTCACCGTCTTGGCCACCTCTCTGCAGAAGTCCTCTGCTTTTCGGCTGTTACCTGTTTCCTTAGGCATTAGTCTACTCTCTCACAAGCTGCTGTATATTTTCCAAACAAAAAAACAAAAAACATACCTCTTGGGCCAGGCTGGACAAATCTGTTTGAAGAACATGTTGAACATTATCAATTTCCTTATCCAACGATGGGAGCTGAAATGTATAAAACAAAATAAACGGTGAGGTGGTTTCCCCCCCCAAAATCATTTGTTGTCTTATATCCAAGTTCCAAGGCCTCTGTATGATAGGATGTGATCCAAATTTCTTTTGAACAATAGAATATTGTGTGAGGAAAACGCATTCGGCTCAGAACGGCCTGTACTGAGCACTAAACTTCGATGTCTGGAGGCCTCCTGCTGCAGGAGGTGAAAATGAGGGGCGACAGCTAACGCAGGTGGAATAGGTGTGACCTCAGGGACTGAATATCGCTGAGTAGAGTTGTAGACAACTCTTTTCAAAGCACATTTAAAAGTAAGGCAGTCAGTGGTCATATTGGGAGAAGTTTCTCTTTTCATACTCCACACGGAATTATTGCTTTGGGGTGTCTTGACAAATGTGCACACGTTGAATCTAGTCATGAGGGAACATCGGACGAACATAAACTGAAGGTCACTCTATATAATGAATGGCCTGGAGTCTTCAAAATGTCCATGTCACAAGAAAAAGGTAACTCAGAAACTGCCCCAGACTGAAGAAACTAAAGAAAACCAAAGAGCACGTGTGATCCTGGACTGGACCTTGAACTGCAACGAGAGAAAAACAGTTGTAAAGGGCATTTTTAGAAAAAATGGCAAAATTCGAATATACGCTGTGATTTAGATGGTCGGATTAGGTCAGTGTTGTATTTCCTGACTTTGACGACTGTATTCATTGCTATGTCGTCAGGAAATGCCTGGGGGTACAAGGCGTCCTGTCTGCAGCTGACCTCCAAATGACTGAGAGAAAACAAAAGGCATGTTATTTTATGCATATATATGACAATGTGAATAGATGGAGGGTAGATGCGGAGATGGATAAATGGATACAATGATAATGATCAAGCAAATGGAACAATTCTGTTGACAGTCTGTGGATCTGGGTAAAGGGTGAACACAGGGGTTTCTTGTACTATTCTCGCAGATTTTCTGCCTGAAAGTAACTGGAATAAAACGTTACCCAAAAAGGACAGGATCTCGATTTAAATGCGAGTGTGGGTCCAGGGCTTTAAAGAACTCTCTGGTGAGGACCAAAGGGATTGTCGTAGATACGCAGACACAGATGTTGGATGTGAAGAGTTTCAGCAAAACTGGTTCAGAAAATGTGAAAGCAAGAGAAATATAGCTCTATTAAAATATTGTCTCATATGAATGGGTGCATCTGGATCACTATCCTGATCAATTAAAAACCACAAGCAGACATGCTTATTTTATCTACGTCCCAGAACTTTATATATTCAAGTTGCTCGAATTCTTTTTTTCTTTTCGAATCTTCCCTTTGGGAATATGAGACAGGATTTTATATTCAGGTAGGTGCAGTCAGTATATTAGGCACATTGTTTCAAAGTAGATTTTAACTTAAGGTCTAGAAAAATGCATTGTTTCCTTTTTTTTTTTTTTAAGTTGAATTGATTTATTTTGCTATTTCCACAAATCAATCACAGACAGGTCTCAAGGAGGGGGTTTCCCGTTACTCCTTCCCCCCACTGTGGCCATTCCCATGTGGCGATCAGCTCACGGGACAGAGACCAGGCCACGTGCACCTGGGAGGTGCACCCACGCTTCGCCCTGCCCAGCTGCCCCAAAGACGCCTGCACACAGCAAGGCCACCGCCTCACCTGGCTCAAGTTGATGTTGTCGTCCAGCTGGCTCAGAGTCGCCCTGATGCTGTTGCACACGGCCTCCGCGGCGGGTGTGGAGCACACAGGGTCGCCGAGCGACTGCTCCAGGTCCATCTTAACGTTGCTCAGGACGGTGCTGAGTCGTGCGGACGACATTTTCAGCTCCTCCAGGATGTTGTTCAATTTCACCAGGGCGTCCTTGGTGTCTCTGATGGCTGTAGAGATACAGGCCGCCTCAGAATACAGGCACCCACCAGGCTGGCAACGGCAGAATCCCTTCACATCTGCAGAAGTCCCCTACGGGGCCTCGAGATGTGCTTGCAAGTGTCACGGGAAGGCCACCAGAGGAGCCTGTGTGAGGGACAGGCTGAGAGGGACACACGGACATCGGTGGCCTGCTCTGCCAGCCACTCCGACCAGCTCAGCCCTCCCACCTGGGGGACGCGATGGGACAGCTGGTGTGGCGTTCCGTGGCCAGCACTGGGGCAGCAGCCCCGGGAGACGGGGTGGCCCTCCAGGCATCACCCAGCCCTGAAGAGGCCAGCTCAGACAAGCGAGCAGTTTTAACGTGCACCCAAAACTGACCCCACCTGGACACACGTTAGCTGTTGCTATTCAAAGATCTGGAATCGAACGCAGAGCAATGGTGACGAGCACGGTGTTTGGATTCAGGCAGGTCTAAGTGCAGGTCCAAGCTGCCCTCCGGGCTGTGCAACCAGAAGCCAGTTCCTGCACGTTCCCCGGCAATGTCCTCACCCACAAATGGGGACACCACCCCATGCTCGTCAGGAAACGTGCGGACTAGAACGCTCACCCTGAACCTCCTCAGTGAGGAGGGCAGTGAGTCCCTCTGTTTTACTGGGGGCGCCCCGCGGCCTGAAACACATTCTTATACTAGGAAACCCCTAATAATGGTCTGCTATTCCGATCGCTCTGGGGCACAGAGCCCCGCATGTACAAGCAGGGAGCTGGCAGGTTCCAGGTGTGCTGTGCAGTGACTTACAGCCACAGCGGGAGAAGCAGGGGACTTAAACTAGAGGCTTTGTCTTCTTCCAGGCGAGGGAGTCTTCCAGGCTCACAAAACTGATGGCCAAGCCACAACTGGGCGTGGCTAGGGGAACAACTGCTCTGAAAAACGCATTTTCCCAACTTTCTGGGCAACCACATTCACTTGAGTGCTGAGAGCCCAACACACACACACACACACAGTTTACTGCTTCCGTGTGGTGGAATCAAAAGTAGTTTGAGGTCTCATCTGATGCCAGTTCTGTTACTGCCTTGCGCCCTTGGCGAACTCCTACGCCTCTTGGGATCTCGGTCTCCTTGTCTGTAAATTAGGAAGCCGGCTGGGTCATCTCGGTGACCAGGAGAGACTGTAGTTCCAGGCTGTGTCCTAGTGCGTGTGCCCTTAGGAAGTGGCACTGCCTGCGCCATCTGAGTTGGCACCCCAGCAGCTGCTTTTTCTGAGCCCTGGGGAAGCTTCCAGGATGGGACTGTGTGACTCTCCGTCCCGAATTCTATCGCCTCATCTGAATAGCAACGTAGAGTCTGCTTCAAGCAATCATTTCTCTTGAATTTTGCTCCAGTTGCATCGTAACAGCGTTTGAGACGATAATGACATTGAAGACGGTATCAAAGAGACCCTTGGGGCCTCGGTTTCCCATCTCTTCCACCTCCTCCCAGAATGAGCAGCAGAGGGGAGCTGCCGCCCGCCCGGTAGAGGCCCGGCAAACATCTGCCACAGCTCAGCCAGGGACAAAGCCCACAGCTGCAACCAGGCGCGCAGCAGAGAAGCCAGGGAGCATCTGGATACACCTCATGCCGCCGTGCACCTCCTCCCCACCTTGTGCGGGCACCGCGCGCCGGGTGCCTTTCCGCTGGGACTTCGAGGTGAGTTATTTAAAGGCAAGACACAAACAACAACAAAAAACGATGGATGATGACACAGCTGATAGCCCAGAGAACACGCGTCCAGTTAGTCACCGTCTGTTGACATTCTGGGTGATGGGTACCATTCTGTTATGTCCCAAGGGCCGAGAGGTATAAGTACACATATATTTTCCAAGGGCTTCCGAGGATCTTCTGTAACATCTAGTGGGTCATAACTCTGGGAGTCAGGTCAGGCCTAACAAGGTCACCTGGGCTATGTCCCTGAAGTCAGTGAGAAGATATTTCAGACTCTCCATTTGAGTTAGTCACCAGCTCCCGGCACACGTCCTTCACGGACCCCGTGTGCAGCTCACACACGATGCCCACAGACACACTGGCCTGTGCCTGTGCTCTCTGGGGGCTGTGGCACACGTAAGCCCGCGGAGAATTGTAGCAAAAAAATCTGCCGAAGCAGTTGATTAAGCACATTTTTAAAAGCCCTGGCAACACCTGAGGCTGAACCTTCACTTATTGGCCTGACTTAAGAATAACAGAACTTTAATACTAATACGTGAGGCACTGAAGAGAAAAAATAAATGTCTTTTCATTGCCTTTAATCCAAAGAGAATTATAATTCAAACATGAAAACCTGGGTAAACCGTGGGGCAGAAAGTCAGGGTCCCCGCCACCCACATGGCCTTCGCAGAGTCTGGGAGGTGATCTTGGCAGACCAATACTCGAATGCACGACGTGTGAGGGGCATGGGGCACAGGGGCGCCTGGCATCCCCCATGGCCACACCTGCTCTGGACACCACATTGCTGTGGACGGCTCGGATCACCCACATCTTCACACTCCTGAGTGCACGCAAACACCATCGAGGCTGGTCCGGGCGGCACAGGCTTTATAGCCAGACCGGGTCCGAATCCCAGCTCCGCCACGTCCCGCTCCCTGACCTCGGACTGCGTACACCGCCCCTGGGCCTTCCTGTCTTGAGCTGGTACGATGCAGGTGACTGCACCGCCCACAGAGCTGTGAGCAGGGACGAATGTGATGTGGGAGAAGCAGCTGGTACCCAGCACAGACGTTTCTCCACACCTGGAAGGGCCTGGGGGAATCTTTTTCTTTGCCCATTTTTGCAGTCGAATATGCTTGCATTAAGGCCAGTCTATCTGCTTGCCGCTACCATCCACTGTGGTGACCTGGAATATATTATGATGCCTGTTTTTACTTTGCAGAACTTGTTCTTTCTGGAGAAGAGGGAAGAGGACTCGAAAGTTCCACAGGCTGCTCTCTTCGGGAGCACAAGTCCACAGCTTTCCTGGGAGGCTTAGACAGTCGGCACTGCCGGCTGCGCGGGCCACCGGTCCCTGCGGCCACCGGCTCTGCCATCCTCACCCGTGCGCTCGTCTGGGTTCCAAAAACCTTCACCCACAGGAACCGTGGCCGGTGCCTGTCACACTGCGCCACGCCTCTTTCCAGTGGCTTGTAGACCATCAGGATGACAACCGTGACGCACCTTTTAAAAAACACGGTTGTACAGCATGTGCCTCCGTCTGGCACAGACTGCGGCCCCAGCCCAGTGGAAAGGAGACCGTGGGAAGGGAGACCGTGGGAAGGGAGACCGTGGGAAGGGAAAGCGAGTCTGGGGAGCCCGAGACTTCTGGCTAGGACGCGCTCTCTGTCATTTCTGTCTGTCACCGCACTTACCTTCTGCCATGGCCTTGATGTCGTTGAGAACAGGGATCACTTTGGGCCTTAGCTGCTGGTGAATCCTGCCTCCTAGCAATGACTTAATATCTAAATTCAAAGAAGCAGAGGGAGTGTGAGGTCTTCCCCTGCACCCCTCCCCCCACCCATGCTCTCTGCAAGGCAGGACATCCGGCCTGGGACATCCCCTTCAGTCTCTGCCACCCTGAAATCCCATTTGTATTCCACCTGGCCGAGTGTTGACTCTTTTCAAAGTCCCCATACCAGCGGTGCCCCCCATGAGAAATTGATAGCAGAGACTCAGTATTTAATTGTACTAGGGACACGGCGTCTTGAACTGTGACTACTTGCGGCCCTGATGTCTCCGGCTACACCAGGGTCTCTCGACCATGGTGCCACCGCCATTAGCGGCCGGATAATTCCCTGCTGTGGCGGCTGCTTGTCCTGTGCCCTGTGGGATTTCGCAGGCATCCCTGGTCTCCACCAAGAGATGCCGGTAGCCCTGCCCCCACCCCTCACCTGGCTGGGACAATCGAAGACGTCTCTGGGCGCTGGGAACCCCTGATCAAGGCCGCGTGAGCACTACCTGTGGGCAGCAGGGACCAGCAGGCCCCGCCGGCTTCTCCAGGGCCTCTCTCTGTCTTTAACAAGGAATGTGACAGAGACCCACTTCCGCCCTCACACGGGGCACAAAGAAGCGCTTGTGACGACAAGAAGCAAAGCATTTAGGAGACGCCAGGTTCTCCCCTGAGTGACCTGCACACGCAGTAACCGAGGGAACCACCGCTCCGGTCCCCCCCTGCACACACACTGCAGGGGAGGCACACTCAGTCACCGCTCGTCCACGTTGTGTGCCAGGTGGCCGTAGCCACGGCCAGCCAAAACAGACAGACAAAAAAATCGAGGCGCTTTTACGTTTCACTTACTGTCCAGATCCGAGAATGCCTTTTTCTTAGTGGTGTTGTACTGGCTAACTGCAAAGCTGATTTGCTAAAATAAAAGAAAATACATGGATGATGTGTTATAGAACTGTACCCCTGAAACCTATATAATTTCATGAACCAATGTCACCCCAATAAATTCAACAATAAATAAATACATAAATAAAATAATATGAAACTTTCTCTTCTTCAGTCCAAAGCCACAATAAAAAGAGATTCAGCCCTGGCCAGTTTGGCTGAGCAGTACAGCATTGGCCCGGGAACCAATGAGTCACGGGTTCGATTCCGGTCAAGGGCACGTACCTCGGCTGCAGTTCGTCCCTGGCTTCGGTTGGGGTCGTGCAGGAGGCACCCAGTCGATGTGCCCCTCTCACGTCAATGTTTCTCTCTCTCTCCATCTCTCTCCCTCCCACTCTATCTGAAGATAAATAGAAAAATATCCTCAGGTGAGGATTAAAAAAAATAGAGAGAGATCCAACATAGAAAAATGATTCCAAACGCAAACTGCTTAAAAAGATACCACATTTCAGCCCTGGCCAGTTTGGCTCAGCAGTTAGAGCGTCAGCCTGCAGTCCAGAGAGACCCGGGTTCAGTTCCCGCTAAGGGCATGTACCTCAGTTGCAGTTTGTCCCAGCCCTGGTTGGTCGTGTGGGTGGCAGCCACTCGATGTGTCCCTTTCACGTCAATGTTTCTCTCTCTCTCTCTTTTCCTCTCTCTCCCTCCCACTCTATCTGAACAGAAAATGGAAAAATATCCTCAGGTGAAGATACAAAAAAAAAAAAAGATACCACATTTCAGAGATGTTTCCATTTTCTGACACCCAGACTTCTTAACAATACTCCAAGGCTCATTGGCTTATGAAACAGACTGTATCATTGCTCGGGATTCTGTGCAGCTGCTACGAGGCTGGTCTGGGTGGGGCCGGCGTGGCTGGGGACACATGGACCCCTCACTCTATGTGGCCTCTCGGCTTCCAAGCGTCCGGCCTGGGCGTTTTCACACTGTGTCCCAGCAGTAAGAGAAGGCCACCCCCGAAAGGCTGGACGCTGCTGGCTAGTACAAGGTCACGTCCGCGGAGTTCTTTTGATCAAAGCAAGTCACAGAGACGGCCCGGATTTGAGGGGTGTAAGCATCCACCTCTGGAGGAACCAGGAAGAACCCGAGGCCGTCTGTAACCTGCCACACCAGGACCGGTTATCAGCGGCTGTTCCTGAGCTGCCCCGGGGGCTGCTGGCTCGCGGGTGTCATAGCACTTCCCACAGCCTGCACACGCCGCTGTTTCACGGTCTTCCCAGTGAGGACGTGTCATTACTTAATGCTCCCTTTCTCCCCCGACTAGAGTAAGGGTAAACCTCTTATTATGTTTGGGGCCAGGAATGTTTCCTCTGTAAAAGGACTATATTCATTCTCTGCCTTAGTTTTTATAGACTCCTCAAGAGCTCTTCATATATTTCAAAGTAGATAAGTCTTCCCCAAAGTCATAACAATTTACGATCCTTCCACGTTTATGAAAGCAGCCCCAACCTTCACCAGCAACGATCGCTATGTATTTAATTTGCCAGCGTTGTAGGCGGAAAGGTTTCTCTGGGAGACTTCAGCACGACAGGTAAAAATAGTATGAATTTGTACCCACAGACTGGAGAAATGAAACACTTCCTTCTCTGTATTGCTGTAAAGTGACGAATAAAATTAGCTTCTCTAATCTCAGTATTTAAAAAATGCCTCCTTTGCTCTTTTCATTCCACCCACGTGTTTAAAAATGAGTCTAATATTTAATGTCAGTATTTTTCAGACAGTACTGAACTTGGAAGAACACACCCTGTGTGAGGAGACACGTGGATTCTGACGGGCTTCTCTGGATAAATCCCACACGAGCGCACTGTTCTCTGCGGGTGGGTACCCACCTGCTCAGCAACATATGCTCGGGCTGGTTTCTGCTCAGACATTTTAAAATTTTAATTTATCTTTACTGTTGAAAGTATTACAGATGTTCATCCTTTTTGTCCCCATTGACACCTCGCTGCTCCTGCCCACCCCCTTCACCTCACTGTTACCTGTGTCCATTGGTTGTGACTACACGCAAACACGTTCTCTGGTTAATCACTTCCCGCACCCCCTTCCGTCTGAGGTTTGTCGGTCTGTTCCCTGCTTCCAAGTCTCTGGATCTATTTAGCTCATACGTTTATTTTGTTCATTACATTCCACAAATAAGTGGTATTTGTCTTGCTCTGACCGGCTTATTTCACTTAGCATAATACTCCCCGGGTCTCTCCATGTCGACTCAAACTTTCTAAAAACAATGTTCTGAACAGGCAAGACATCAACATATTACTGGGACACAGTAAAAAGGTGCCTTCAGGCCATCATGTTCCCGTCCTCAAAGGCACATGCGTGTGCACGTGTCTCCACTCCCCAATCTATACAGATGTTTGCACATGGATGTTGACAAACACAAAGGTTTCATGACAAAGGTGACTTCATGCAAAAGGACAGTTAGCAACAATGCCAGGAGTATGAGATAATGGCACCCAAAGATATTTTTTCTTTAAAAAAAAAAAATTACGAGACCCTTAAAATGGTTAAGCACTTTTATAATATGTACTATATTTTTTTAAAATACGTTTTTATTGATTTTCTTCGAGAGAGAGGAAGGGAGAGATAGAAACATGGATGTGAGAGAGAAACATCAACTGGCTGCCTCCTGCACGTCCCTTCTGGGGATCGAGCAGGAAACCCAGGTATGTGTACTGCCTAGGAATTGAACTGCAGCCTCTCGGTCCATGGGACCATGCTCAGTCCACTGAGCCACACCAGCTGGGCAATATGTACTATAATTTTATGTTATACCTTAATAAAAGAAAGAACACTGGTTTTAAAATCATGCTTTTATATTCTTTTAGAAATCACTTGCTAGGCCTTTATTTCTTTATCTACCAAATGAAAAGATAACTGCCTACACTAATTCACTGGGTTTCTATAAAGTCCAAATGAAATGGAAAATATATGCAGGAACCCCGAAAGGCCTCAAACACAAAGTACCAGGGGATATACAGACTGGGGTTCTTACCGATGGAGTTTCATTCAGGAAAGTCCTCAAGTCTTTGAAATTGTTGTCTACCAGTTTCCGAGTCTTTTGGATCTGGGTCCTGAGGTGGTGGTTTGCCACGAAACCGAAGATGATACCAATGCTGCAGGAGAACCACAGGGGGAGGAAGACACTTACCGGTGACCGCGGTGGACTGCCCAGGTGCAGGCAGACCACTGAGGGGAAGAGGCGGGGCTCCTGAGCAGAGCCCCCAAAAGCCAGGACCTTCCTCCCCCACCGACCCCCCCCCCCCACTGCTGCAGCCTTCGGGCCAACATCCCATAATCCACCCACCAACGTGGGCCACACATAGGACCCAGGATGCTCAGAATAGACACATAGCCACATGAGATACACTTTCTGTTAAGTACTGAATCTTATCAATGGAACAATGTTCACGATAAACTGCAGAGGAAATAGTCACAGACAAAGGTTATCAGGCAGTGTGTACAGTATTGTCCCGTAGGAACAGACGTGTTCGCAGGTACACGCCCTCCTGTGCAGTGCACACACAACCACACCCCACAAGCACACCCCAGAGAAGACTGTCAGGAAAAACACCAAAATGATAAGACTGTGTCGGGCTTTCTATCGGTTGTCGTTTCTCTAATTGTCTTTGTTAGTTTTTGTATCGTCAGCATTGAAAAGAAATACGAGTCACTTGAGCCTTAAAATGCCGTCTGAAAAGCTGCGAACAGTAATGAACCGGCCGCATCGCTTTACATGAAGCCCAGAACTGTGCAAAGTGATGCTGCCTACAGTCAGCGGTTACATTTGGGGAGGGTAGATAAGGATGTAATTGGTGTGCTCACTTCAAAGAAACTCATGAAAATCTATTTATGACAAGGACACTTTTCATCATGGAAAATATACTTCAATAAAGACCTTCAAAAGCACTATATGAAAAGTTCCTCTACATGAAAATGCAAAACATTTTTCAAGTAAAAAAAGTCTACATTTTATCATTCTGAGGGCTTTCAATGTTGACTAGTTACTAACAATCTCATGACTTAAATTAATTTGATCGATAGGTTAGTTTTTATGTCAAAGCCCTTGTGTTACATTTAAAATCGCTAATTATCAAGGTTGTGCTGGATTTAACCACTAGGTGGCAGTGAAGAATTACATAAACTCAGAATATTTTACGTATAGAAGTCAATAACAAAATTGTTAGTTTGTAACCATTTAAAATAGAAGTTATGAATAGAACAAAGTTTTGATAGAACAAAGTTTTGCAAACTATAGGTCAACTCTGGGGGAAAATTCTGATGCAGACTATCAGGACCTTGTTTCCACACCAAAAGTAACGTTTTTGGTTTTACGCAATCATATGTTTACAGGTAGGGTGGCCAAATGTCCGTTTTTGCATCGAAAGTTCCATGTTCCCAGGAAATCTCTGTCTTAGGTAAATGGGGAGAGTCCCTCACCCCATTCACAGTCATCATTCATTCCAAGGAACATTAGTTCATTGCTGGACTCCCATAAAACCTTTTCCCATAGCTGTATCACACAGGAGCATGAGGTTTCCCAACCGAATCCAAAAAAGTCTATAGCACACAATACTGAACTGTGTTTCTATGTCTAACGAGTTCCCGTGGACTGTGGACTGCAGTAGAAACACGAGATCTCGCCACCGTTGCCCTTGACATCTGTGCGCGCCTGAGAAAGTCCCTCTCTGTGAGCTGCAGCTGGTGTCACAACACTGAAAATCAGGTGAGATTGGTGCTTCTCAAGCTGCAAAGGAAAGGGCTACTGGCTGCCTAAGATTTTTTTTTTTTAAGTTTGGGTTCATGCTGATGGTAATCTTTTTTTCTTATGTTTTTATTGATTTTTTTAGAGAGAGAGGAAGGGAGAGAGATAGAAACATCTATGTGAGAGAGAAGCATCAACCGGCTGCCTCCTGCACGCCCCCTACTGGGGATCCAGCCCGCAACCTTGAGCATGTGCCCTGACGGGAATGGAAACAGGACTTCGCAGTCTATGGGACAATGTTCAATCCACTGAGCCACACCAGCCAGGCTCTGATGGTAATCTTAAAAAAAGTGAATGTTAAAAATATTCTGTGCCACCTGGAATGTCACCTTATAGTCCATTTTTGTCAGTCTTAAGTCTGCATTGGCATTTGAGGCTGACTTTATACCATCGCAATAGTAGTTAAGTGATGCCAAATAAAGCCGAATGACCCACAGTGATGGCTTAGGAGCAGTGTGGACAGAAGAAAAACAAAGTTGAGTCATAACAGTGTATTTGGGATTTTATTTATCATGCCAAATTTCAAACACCCGTAATAAGTCAGGACACCTGCCTACAACATGATTTCAGAGCGGGGCCCCTGCTGTCTCTCCCCACGTCCAAGGTATCTGTCATTCATCATGCTCCAGACCCAGTGCATCACATAAAAAGTCAAAGTGAACTTGAGGAACAAACAGCAAGTCCAAGTCCTCTTGGCCTTCGCTGACACCCCCCTCCCCAAACCTCTTTGCCTTGAACTCCCAGAGGGCTCCCCTGAAATCCTGATGGGCTGTTTCTCACTTCATACTCTGTTTTGTCTTTATTTTTACCTGTGCTGAGTTTCTTTTAAAAGAGATGGAAACTGCTTCTTTGTCAATTTTGCATAACGTAGGGTCTCTCACCCATGGTGGATGCTCAGTGAAGGGGGTTTTCAAGACTGGACTTTGTTTCATTTGGTCCATTTAGACGATTAGCCGTGTGTTTGGAGTGTCCAAGTCAGAAACTGTCTTTGTTCCTTTATTGAATAAATGCCTTTACTCAAAGATCGTCAATCAGTATAATGAGTTGCAATATGACACTGGATTTCAATGCAACATACAGTATTTTTAAAAGATCCATATCGATGATGGATCCAATTAAAAGGAAAGCGGTGATCATTTTTCTAAAGCTGCAGTAAACAGAATTCTGGGATAGACTTCAGCAATTGTCAAAGCTGATTTTGAGACCCCTGACACCCTGCAAATTTTATATTTAAATTAAGCAGGGAAAATTCAACTGCCGACATAGGCAGGAAGGAAGCTGAAGGTCTAAGGGGGGTGGGCAGCCGCTCCGAAGTCCTGGCACATGCCCCCAAGATGGCAGACCAGTTTGCCAGAGCTTCACGAAAATCTGGAAATCTGCATTCCTATGTAAAAATCTCCCGCTTTTCAATATTAGCAACTAATCAAAGGAAAAAAAAAAAAACTTTAAATACCAGAAAACCAACTGGTCTCCATTTGTAATCTCTAATCGGAAACTTCTATATAAACACAAGAGCTATCAAAAAATGTACTTTTTGTATGCAGTACAAGAAAATATATAGAAAATTTTAACAGAAAATAAGCATTTCAATTTTCATGGCATATTAGCATGATATCTCCTGCATTTCATCATGGACTGATGAATTTTCTCACATGTACACTTAAAAGTAAATACTTAAAGCTTTTAAAGAGTAAGACTGAATCTTTAAAATTTGTAGCAATATTTTCTACCAATTTCTACTGGTTTAATGAAATTAGCCAGTGAAAGACAAATAAATGCTTTCAGTCTGGAACTGTTCTCTTATTTTTTTTTAAGATAATTTTAAATTTAAAGTTCAAATAATTAGCCTTCTCGTTCGCATGAAGAGCCTCGTGATTTGCTGGCTCAATTTCTTTTCTGGAACCTTGTGGCCTCTCAGCCAGGAATTGACAATCACGTCGGTATGAAAAATGAACTTTGAGAAATAGCCATCTTCCTGAAAACATCTGGGATTCAATTCCCCCGTGGTAACGGGCGAACACTGATTTATCGTGCTCAGAAACTGAGAGATACACCGGAGCAATAAAGGCACGGGTGTCCTTTCTCACTGTTTATAACCGTTCGTGGAATTCTCAAAACCGCAGTGATGCAAGCGCAAAGGAGAGAGAAGAGGAAACTTGGCTATTTCTGGAGTCACACACATCTGCTGAAGGAATCTGCAGTGAGCGGTGGAAACTCCATCTTCCACGGACGGTCCCACCCCAGGAACACACCGCCTGTGGGACTCGAGCGCGGCGGCCTCTGGAAAGGCTCACGCGGCGACAGAACCTGGCCACGCACGTTCCACGCGCGCGAGGGGCGCTTTCTCCTTACCGCCCACGCCTTCCCCAGTTAGAAAATAAAATCTAAGTGTTCTTAAATTAAAAAAAAAAGAGGTAGATGGAAAATTCGAGTCAAGACGAATTTAGAAACCAAATTTATTTTCTATCGTAACATTTCCTATAGAGACACAAAATAGAATTGAGCCTGATAAAAGGCAGGTGAACGCCCGTGCCTGGGTTTCTGAACTTTCAAAAACATCGGATGTCAGTATGTAAAGATGCTCTGTCCGTCGTATCCAAGCTCTTTCCTGTCTGCACCCCAGTTGTCTTCGCACACCTTCCCCTCCTACCGAATCCGATGCTGTGGGCGCCCCTCCCCATCACTCCTGACGAGACCTCTGTGCTCCCCGCCCTTCTCTCCTGCGCTCAGTGGGTGGCTTGCGCATCCCACACAGCTGCTATTCACACGCGGAAGAACCTTGCAAACTCGTAAGGGTTTACAGGGAAGACATCAAAACAGCTGTTCTAGCCCTGGCCGGTTTGGCTCAGCGGTTAGAGCGTCTGCCTGCGGTCCGGAGGGACCCAGGTTCGGTTCCCGCTAAGGGCACGTACCTCGGTTGCAGTTTGTCCCCGGCCCTGGTTGGTCGTGCGGGTGGCAGCCACTCGATGTGTCCCTTCACATCGATGTTTCTCTCTCTCTCTCTCCCTTCCTCTCTCTCCCTCCCACTCTATCTGTACAAAAAATGGAAAAATATCCTCGGGTGAGGATAAAAAAAAACCAAAAAACAGCTGTTCTAGATTTAACAATTCAAGCCAAAGAAATGGAAACTTCTAGTCTGAATTTAAATTAAACAAAGCGATCTCAAACACCATGTTTCTTTAGGCCTTTTTCTCATTTATATATAAATCCAGTGTATTACGTGAAGTGAATTACTTTTAAATATGTCGCTCAGACTCAAATTCATCACTTAGACGCACATAATTGGTCAACTTTCATTTAATTGCACTGAAATTTAAAATTCTGATTTTCAAATTAATAAGATTTACTTGGGTGGGGAAAATATTTTAACTGAATATAAAGGAGGCTCTAGAATCACAATCTGTTTTTTTTTTTTTTAATTTTCTGAACTAAAATATACTCAAGAGAAAAAATGAACAAAATTTGTTTGATGGATCTGAGCTCTCTAGAATAAAAAAATTACAGCATTCATTTTACATATAAATGAAAGCTGAATTTATTTATGACTTTGTGGCTTTATTGTTTATATATTTTGGTGTTTAAACATAATGTAAATAATTCAATCAATTCAGGGTGAACTATAAGATATAACACGTAATTATATGTAATGCAAATAAAAGTCCAATTTAAAAATAGAAACCCTGCCCTGGCCAGTTTAGCTCAGCGGTTAGAGCATCAGCCTGCTGTCCAGAGAGACCTGGGTTCGGTTTCTGCTGAGGGCATGTACCTCGGTTGCAGTTTGTCCCCGGCCCTGGTTGGGCCATGTAGGTGGCAGCCACTCGATGTGTCCTTTCCACATCGATGTTTCTCTCTCTCTTCCTCTCTCTCCCTCCTGCTCTATCTGAATAAAAAAATGGAAAAATGTCCTCGGGTGAGGATGAAAAAACAAAAATAGAAACCCTATACAAGATAAATTTCTCACTCAAAAAAAAAATTGAAATCTCCTTATTACATATGTAAACACTTGTTCAAAAAATCTAACTCTAACCCTAACCCTAAACCTAAATTCAACCTTAACACTAAGTCTAACACTATACCTAAACCCAGCCTAACCTTAACGCTGACAAAGAACAAAACAAAACAGAAAACATTTATTTGGGTAAATGAGTAACTACATGCTATAAAGACTATTTCTGAAATTACATCGTATGTATTTCTATCAAGTGAAAACTATTAAATTGTTGGTCAGTGATCACCCTAAGGGCAAGTATTTTCAAATGACATTTTCTCATCTGAGCCCCATCCTTGCTGTGCAGGGTGTACTAAGAGGGAGAAGCGCTTCGGTCTCGGTCTTTGCATGAATAAAAGATGTGTGTTTCAGCCTTCTGGGACACGCACAAGACATGGGCTACAGCGGGCATTTTTCTGGTAGCTGGGGAGGAGGTAACAGCTATAAGGCCCACACATTCCTGGACATACTTCACATGCAAAGCAGAGAGACAGGGATATCTGGAATTAAATGTGTCTCCATCCTAACTTGCCTTACAGAATTAAATGTATATGAACAGGTTCAAATTATTTACAGAGAGACACAGAGACAGAGACAACAGGGAGACAGAGGAGAGAGATAGAGAGGCCCACAGGCTTCATCTCACAGAGAGAACACAAAATAGCCCTGCTGGTCAAACATGAATCAGCTAACGCATGCGCTTGGGTCTTGTTCACGAGTATATTTTTAAAGTCTATTATTTCACTATTTTCAGCAAAAGTATGTCTTTGCCAAAAAAAAACTATATATATATATATATCACTGCCCTGGAAAACGTGGTCATGCACTGGGTCTCTGCTTTTTGTGGGGCTGTTCTGGTGGTTCAGGTTTGTTGTTTTTTGTTGTTGTTTTTTTTTATCCTCACCTGAGGACATTTTTCCATTTTTTGTTCAGGTAGAGTGGGAGGGAGAGAGAGGAACAGAGAGAGAGAGAGAAACATCGATGTGAAAGAAACACATCGAGTGGCTGCCACCCGCACAACCGACCAGGGCCGGGGACAAACTGCAACCGAGGTACGCGCCCTTAGCGGGAACCGAACCCGGGTCTCTCAGGACCGCAGGCCGATGTTCTAACTGCTGAACCAAACCGGCCAGGGCGGTGGTTCAGGTTTAATGTTTAGTGTACGAGGACAGCAGGTGATGAATGACTGAAGGACACAAAAGATCTGCTACAGTAAGAAGTCGGTGTCCTTCCTTCCCCTCCTCCACTGCGGATTTCTGCCCCACAGGCTGTGGCCAGGGTCCCGGCAGTCCGTCCGCACGAGCTCTGTGCAAATAAACCAGGGCTCGGTGCCCCCTCCTGTCTTGTTCTATCGTGGCTGCCGTGCTGTACCCATGGTCTGGGAGCTGCTTTTCCACTTCATCTCGGCTGGGGGCTGTTTCGAACCAGCATGCCGCAAGCCGCCCAGTCCTTTCCAGAGGGCAGAGTGTATTTCAATAATTGGACACCCCAAAACATACATCTCACCCTACTGACGGCACGCTCAAGGAACACTTCTTCTCGAATATGCAGCCAGAACTCCGCTGGTAGACCGGCTTACACTGTTCTATTTACTTTCGATTGCGGTTTAATTCTGTTTTCTGCTTGCATTCCCAAATATCCATTATTTAGCAGCATTTAAAAAATCTTTTCATTTTATATCCTCGCCTGAGGATATGTTTTAATTGATTTTAGAGAGAAAGGAAGGGAGGGAGAGAGAGAGAGAGAGACATTGATTGGTTGCCTCCCTTAGGCGTCCTGACTGGGATTGAACACACAACCTGGGTACATACCCTGACTGCAACCCGTCAGTGTGCGGGATGACGCTCCAACCAACTGAGCCCCACCGGCCAGGGCAAACTTGAAAAGCCTTAACCATGGCTACTAAGCAAATGCAGTACTTAAGAGACACGGTGAGGAGGATGCTGAAGGCGGATCTTTGAGCCCCCTTGAGGCCTTGCATTATCCATGTCCTTGATTTCTGTGGCTAAATGACTGGCTGGTTGAATGAATGGGATGCGGAATGACGACTATCACCACCAGGGGGCCAGTGTCATACAGCACATTCCTCAGCCAAGGAATCTGATTTGGACTGTCAACAGACCGTCACCCTCCTAAAACAAAAGCAGGGTGCCTCAGATCTGCTGGTCAGTTGGAAAACGTTTGGCAGCAGGAGCTACAGAAGAAACATCCTAAATTGCGAGGTGTGCTCCAGCCTTCAACAGCCGGTGGCAGCTTCACTCCAAATTTAAGAAACTAGATCTACTGTCAGAAAGTTAATCCCATTCCACAATATTCTCCAGCTCCCAAATTCAGAGACCTTAAGATCCCTTTGTTTTTTTTGTTTTGTTTTGTTTTTTAATCCTCACCTGAGGACATTTTTCCATTTTTTGTACAGGTAGAGTGGGAGGGAGGGAGAGAGAGAGAGAGAGAGAAACACTGACATGAAGGGACACATCGAGTGGAGACATACCAATCAACTAGCAAATACTTGCTCTGCCTTCCCGCAGGCCGCCTGCCTCCAACAGCTGCTTCAGAGAAAGGGGCTGCTGTTCTGGGGGCAAATGCTTCCTGCCGTCTAAGGTTCGTCAGAACGTCTTCGAGATGAAAAAATACCAACGGGTTGGCTTAGCACGTAGGTGCGGAAAGCTTGATGCTAGTGCTAACTTCTGGTTAGAGTGACATCTTTCCAAGCCATCCTGAGCAAGCATTTTTGTTCTCTCTTTTCTGTTTGTTTGGTTTTGTTTGTTTTTTTTGAGGGGGGGGTGTTTTTGTTCTTTTGTTTTTGTTCTTTTGTTTTAAACTCATGGGCTTAACAGGTCAAGCATGAGATATTGCTCATCCACCAAAAAACCCACCAGCAGCTGTTTGAGACTCTACTTGCCTTATAAACACACCGATCACCAGCAGGGAGACTGCGTAGTACTTCCTCAGGAAGGTCCCATTCCTCTTCTGCCGCTGGTGCATGTCCCCACCACACCTGTGACAACAGCGGCACGCGCAGAAGCAGAGCCCCACCAGAGGCATGAGGATGACAAACAGCAGGCCCAGGACAGCGCAGATGAGGATCCCGAGCTCATAGTGGATGACCTGGAAGTCGAGCAAGAGAAACAGCGTCTACTGTCACACAAAACCAGTAGAACTTTCCATCAGGGGCACGATTCACTCTGCCATCTGTCTGCCACCCGGAGTGTGTGTGCGTTGAAGCTCCTTTTCAAAACAGAGGAAGCGAGATTTGAGTGGCCGGAACACGGGACCGAGCGGTTACTATTTTCTTTCAACTCCCAAGAGAACCTCCAAATGCATGATCGAGTTGCAAATGGTTTCATCTCAACCCCAGACGTAGTCTGCTCATTTTAAAATAGCGTAACAGATACTGGCAGAAGGACTTGCACAGTGAAGAATCTACACATCGGCTGCTTTTCACCAGAAAAACAGGACAGCAGCAGTTATTCAGGATTCAAAGCAGGTTGGAATTGATCAATGAATGACGAGGTCATAGTCAGTTACAAAAGAATCTGGAATACATTGAGGTTCAGAAAAAAGGCTCAAACTTTCTGAGTCAGACACGGCCACTCAGTTTCCCCAGCCACAGACTGGGAATAATAACACATACCTTGTACGGTCGCCGTGAGCAGTGCAGACAATGTAGGATCAGTGATAACGTGCCAAGTCAAGCACCAGGCACGGGGTACACACTGCCCCAGTGGCAGCCTTCACGCGGTGCAGTGAGGCTGGGCATGGCTGCCCGTGTCTCAGACAGTTCCTAGATTCCTAGCACCAGGCACAACCTCTAGATACAACCATGTGACCGAAATATGTTTTCATAACCACTCCTGACTTTATTCTGGGATAAGGAAAAAATCAGTGCAACTGGATGATGAAACTTCATCTCATTCCAATTCACACGCAGTTGTGTTTCCATAAGGCCAGACATTTTTAAAGAGTGGCAGAACATTACAGGTGGCGGTTTGAAACTAACAGGCCAGCGAGGTAGCAGCAGCTCCTGAAGCCAAGCGGAGCAAAGTGAAACAAAACACAGGTGTCGATGTGATGTTTGGGGAAGGAAGGCTGAACGTGGTGTCAGAAGACCAGCCTTCACTCCCTGCAGGAGGCTGCTAGTTCCCCGACCTGGAAATTGTTACGGTAGCACCAACCTCATAGCATCTTGTAAGGGACATATGGTAAAATGATTCAATGTGAAAACAACTAGCCAAGTGCCCACAGCAGATATTCAATCCTTGTTAGTTAATTCTGTGGGCAAATGCTTTAGAGTATTAAGCCAGGGGTACATGGCACTTGAATGTTATCTATTTAGATATTAAGGTTAAGATGCTAAAAAGAAAAAAAAAAAGTGGTGGGATTTTGCTGGTTTCAACTACTCGCTCCTGGTTAAACCAAGGCCCGCCCACAGACGGGAAGTCATTGTTCCCTGGGGGTTCACAGCTTTGGCCAATTGAGAAACCAGTCCTAGATACCCCACAATTCATTTCTCAGAAAACAGTTACCATGTTTCAAGGAATTTAAAATCCTTTCTGAATCTTAAGAAACACTGAAAGCCAAACCCAGGAGAGAAAGCATATTGAAGTATTTTAAATACCCTCTCCTTAGCTCCGAACACAAAATTTTATATTTGATATACAAGCTTCCCAATGTTACTGACTAAATATTATCTCAGACAGCATAAGGACAAGATAGGTCATTTCATGAGTTGACTGGAGTCCGGCCAAGGTCGGGCAAGGACCTCAGTGACTTTCCGAAACACCAAGGTCTCTGGAGGGCTTCGTGGATTGCGTTGAAGGGGAAGGAAAGGTCAGGATTAAATGTGTCCAGATGGGTGGCTTTCCTCCCATGAACACTACAACTGAAAGAAGATAAAAGAGGATGGTGGAAACAAAAGTGAAACAAATAATTGAAAGATGACCACGTGGCCACACAGTGAAGATAGAAGGTTTAGAACCTTCTGGCAGAAGTGTTACATCGACACGACTTCACTGGCTTCAGACAGAGCAACGTGGAAAAGCAGAAAGGACTTTACCTTCAGAGTCAAGACCACGCTTTCTGGCTGTGGAAGGCAGAGACCGCATGCAGCAAGGAAACAGAAAAAGTTACGTGAATGATTAGTTGCAGAGAAAGTCAAGCGAGAGAAACATCAACACAGACAGAAATTGTAAAACTCGAGCGCTTATTAGAGGAAGAGTGTTTTGAGTCGAATCAAGTTCTGGACCTTACATTTGAATTCGCATTTGGGTTTATCGACAGGTTTCGCATCAGTGTGCTAATCTGACGGGAACGAGGGGGAAAGGTGCACACGCTAACACACCAGGCACGCGGTCTTCGTGAAATAAAGCAGCAGCGGCTGTCTGCAACCCCAGAGCCAAAGGCAACACCTGCCGAAGTGTCCTTTCTAAAATGAAATCTGATGGTGTGGTTGCCTTGCTTAGTAGCTTTCCATGGATCCCACCTGTTTGCTTCAGGCTTCCTACTGTGGCCCGATCGTATGTTGCCCTGGCTTCGTGTCCCCGTTCTCCCCAACCACTGCGGTCTCGGGAAGCATCGGCTCTCTCCCCTCCTCACCCGGGGCTCCCTAGTGCTGCCTCCTTTTCCAAACCATCATTCCCATGACGCTTCCTCTGATGAAACTCAACATCCCTAGTTGGATGCTCCTTCCTCCAGGAAGTCTGTCTTGCTAGACGGGGTTTGCGCTACGTCCCTCCTTCATGCTGCCTCGGAGTCCTGTGCTCGCCCTTCCACTTGCCCACTCGGGGTGCCCGGCCGCGCACTCCGGAGACGAGGACCAGGACAGTCACCCTGCTCTCCCGGGCGCAGCCCAGGGCCTGGTGGACAACAGCCGCTCGTTCAGAATCTGATAAACTGATGAGCTGAGGCAGTAGGAGCCACTGCCTAGACCAGTGGCCCAGAGACAGGGACTGGCCAGCGAGGAGGACGGACCAACCCTCAGTGAAGTAGAAAAATAAAAATGCGATGAGTTTCCCATAAAGTGAAATTTGCTCAGTTTATAAGACTATGCTTTCTGGGGGGAGGGAGGAGAAATGAGTGTCCAGGGGAACCACGTCATCCCGGTTGACTTAGTCAAGTTCCACACGTGGCAAAATAAACGTAGGTGGCTGTGTTGTGGCCCAGATTGCTTTTTTGAAATTGTCAGTCCGAGAAATCTAAGTTTGGGAACGTATTGTTTTAGATGGCAGATTTTCCTTTGCCCCTGGGTCACCTGGGACACGTTGAGTGACCCCAGCCCCCCTTCCTGGGCGAGGGCCTCACGGGCTGGATTCCTCCCAAACTCACTCCCGTGAGCACCGCCAGTGTGTGTGAAGATCCCTAAGTCTGGGCCCCTCCCCGAAGCGGGTGTCGGGAGATGCGGGTAAGAGCAGGAACCGGCTTCAAAGTGGCTGTGTTGTGGCTGTGAGCAGGGGAGTCTGGGAACCTGCTCTTGGCTCCCAGGCCTGTCGTGCTGGGCTGCAGACAGGGCCGAGCAGCCTGCAAGCTACACCGTTCCGCCGGCTGTTGGTGTTTCATCTCCCTGCCGCGCCAGCCTGGTCTGACACGTCTGAGGGGTACCAGTAAACCCCTCCGCGGAGCTGGGTGCCTTTCCCCTCCCCCCTCCGTGCTGGGGCGCGGCTGTTACCTGTGCGACGCAGCGGTTTGCGCCGTGGCCCTGCCACTGAGCATCTGCGCTTCCCTCCTCCACTAATTGTCATTACTGTCACCCGGGGACCTTTTGAAAAATGTCATAACCAGTCACCCCTGACAAACTACATCAGAATCTCTGGGGTCGGGTCTGGGCACGGGTACAATGTTACTCAGAGCCTTGGTTACCCCGTCTGAACAGGGATGAGCAGAGACCCTGTTCTATACGGTTACTGCAAAGACAACCCGAGAAACTGTGAGAAGCAACATGTTTTATGCATCATTCTGTTCTAAGCGCTTTCCGTGTACTAGTCAATGTATGTTAAGTGGGTTAATTCGTGCGAACACTTAGACCAGAGCCTGCCAGAGTAATGCTCAATCGATATCAACTAGGAGTAATAATCAATGCATGTCAGCATTATTCTCGTCTCTGAGCTCCAATGAGCCTCAGATGAGCCCGGTCGAGGGCTACCTTGCCTGCTTTCTCTCTGAATGCCTGCTGAGGGCGCTAGTGGGTCTTTTCCTCACTTGGAAAGGAGGGTGTGTTCCTACAGGCAGCATGTCACCACGCTCTCGGTCGCTTCAAGTGACTGCGGAGTGAAATGAACGAGGAAGAGACAAGCCAGGAGGTTGGAGTGGAGCTGAACCACAGCCACATGGAAACTAGTTCAGGAAGTCACCAGGAGGACACTCGCCGTTCCTGCCAACAGTGATGTGCGGGACAGAAAAGATGGCAGGTGGTGGGGTTGCTGGGAGAACTGTCCTCTGAAAAGGTTTCTAGACATGCGGGAGGCACTTATGGGTTATTGGTGGGAAGCGATAGTGAGCCATCTACCTGAATTGCCCTACACGATGCATTTTTGAGGACAGGAATTGTGTTCTTTTATTTAACCGAGCGTCACTCGACAAGTAAGGCTGAGAAGCTCTCTCTGCGGAAACCCTGCATGAGCACGTGTGGGTGACCTTTTGTTTGTTTCCTGTGTTTACAGCCAGTCAGACAGCATGTGGAGAATCTGGAAAGGGCTCACCTGCACACTCCGATGCCCCAGGAACGTTTTCAAGCGCCTGCAATACTGGCTGTGCTTAGCAGGGCTCGTTTTTGAACCTGGAGCACAGGGCTTGACACACACTGGGCATGCTGAACGCCCCCAAAACTGAAACATTAGGTGAGCTGCCTGTGTAATCTCTACCTTAGCCTCCAGGCAGGTATCCTATCCTACAGCCTCCCCTGCCCCAGCTGGGAGTTCTTAGAGTAAAAGTCCTACTGTCAGGTGTCTGTATCCCCCCCAGGCATTGCTCCTAATGAATACTCTAAGCAGCAAATGGATACATTAAACAAAAGAAAGTATAAAAACAAAATGTTATGGAGGAAAAGGGGCCCAAGGGTCATATGTTCCTCTGTATGTTACTTATAAATCTACTTCCTTCTTCTCTTCTTTACATAATCGGTCTCTGCCATCTGGCTCTTAGCCTCTCGAGAACAAGGGCTGCCTCCCTCCTCCCCGCTTCCCTTCCAGTCCTAGGCAAGTGCACACACAGCGCTCAAAACACATGTTCAAGCGGGAAGCTACTTTCTGACAAACTGTCTTTTGAAACAAAGTACCCTATTTCTAGGGATGTTCAACCATGTCTACAACCGCCCCTTAAACAACAGGGTTTGAATCGCACAGGTCTGCTCATACCCAGATTCTTCCCAATAAATACACCAAGTATTGCAATGTATTTTTTTCTTCCTTATGATTTGCTTAGTAACACCCTTTCTAGCTTACTTTATTGTAAGAACATAGTATATCATAACATACAACATACAGAATATGTGTCAATCAGCTGTTAATGTTATCGGTGAGGCCAGTGCGAGGCTATGGGGAATAGAGGGAAGGAACAAATAGGCTGTTCAGTGACTAAAAGCAAGTAGGTTGAGGTAAGAGGAAACAATTCTACTCTTGCTATAAGTCTCCTGGGAACTTAAACTTTTGAACATTCAAGCCTGTGTCCATGCCTAGATACACATCAAACCTCTGGTTGCCCCCCAGAAGAACTAAGAAGAGAATGTTCACATATCCTGACTGCCTGACATCCGGTATTCAGACCGCCAGGTCATCTAGGGGGTCACGTTGGGAACCGTTCAGAGGCTAAGGATGCGGGGCGGATTCGCCTCAAGAATGTGACTGGAGTACACAGCTCTGAACTCGGCTTTCTCCTTGGGCTCACGACTGGCTTTTGCCTAGCTGTGTGTTCCAGTTTGCAGATGCTAAGACCCATGAATAAATCTTTGTCTTTGATTTCTAGCAAAGCCTCCAGATTCTTTTTGAGTTTGTTCAACAGCTATTAATAATTAAAGTTTTAGGGAGTCAAAAATTATACCTGGATTTTTAAGTGCATGGGGGTTGGGCGTTATTCAAGGGTCACCTTTACTTAGGGAATTCTCCTCCTAAACTTAACTAAAAAGGTAGCAGAATACTTCCTTTAAGGAAAGTTTGGTTTTTAAATAACACACAACTTTAAAGGTGAAGGTTTCCTTAAATGCTCCTTTTGTAATTCTTGCTGTAGTTCAAGTGAGATTTACAAGGTGCTTCAATATTCCATAAAAGTTCTTAGTCAGAAAAGGTTACTAAATTCACAGATTAAATAACCGGTTGTTTAAAGAATTACTTTCAAGTCAGTCAAAATTGGCTCATACTTATTTTAACAACAAATATGTCAATAAAAATTACCTTTTCATAATCAGCTGAGAAGTCAAACTTCCTTTGTATTATTTTTCTTAAAATATCTGGGGGGAAAAAGCCACAAGACAACAGCAAAATTACTTTTTCAGTAAAAGTATAAAATACTTTTTATACGTAGAAGTATAAATATTTAGTAATAAGTATAAATATTTAGAAGATAAAAGTCTATATATATTCACAAATTACTGTACCTCTCTATATTACTGTATCCTTAGAATTTTATTCCTATTTCTTAATGCAGGTAAATTATCAAGCTAATGAGACCCTCACTCTGAAGCCAGGACCAGAAGCTGGAGTTTCGCTTACTATTTTGCCAGCAGCAGAATTCGAGGGCTGCCATATTTAAGAGTTTTCCATTTCTCCCCTGGCCGGTTTGGCTCAGCAGTCACAGCATCAGCCCGTGGACCAAAGAGTCTGGGGTTCAATTCCGGTTAAGGGCGCATGCCTTGGCTGCGGTTCAATCCCCGACTCTGGTAGGGGTCGTGTGGGAAGCGACCAGTGGATGTGTCTCTCTCACATCGATGTTTCTCTCTCTCCCCCTCCTCCCACTCTATCTGAAAATCAATGGAAGAATATCCTCAGGTGAGGATTTAAAACAAAAGAGTGTTCAGCTTCTCACACTACACCTTCACATTTATCAGCAAAGTGCATGCACTTCATTAAATGTCACTGATAAAATGTTACCCTGAAATTGCTGGTTCTTCATTATTTGGAACCACATATGCAATGTATTCTTTAATAATTTCACATTTATATAATATTTTACAAATGAGAGGAGTCTATTTTTTTTAATTCTCATCCGAGGATTTTTTTTTTTTTTTACATTTATCTTCAGACAGAGTGAGAGGGAGAGAGAAAGAAATATCGATGTGAGAGAGACACATTGACTGGTTGCCACCCGCATGACCCCAACCAAGGCTGGGGACAAACCGTAACTGAGGTATGTGCCCTTGATGGGAATCGAACCCAGGACTCTTTGGTCCACAGGCTGATGTTCTAACCGCTGAGCCAAACCGGCCAGGGCACAAATAAAAGGATTCTTACCGTGAACCTAACCCAAGAGTTCTGAACCCCATGAGCTACCCTCCCCCCTCATCTCCAAACACTGCCCCAAACCCTGCAGTTCCAGCCGTGGAAACTGCTTTTCCGTGGTCATTTGGGGCGTTCTCGAACTCTCCTGAGGTGGAGGCCCCTCTGACTCCGGTCCGCCAACCCTGTGATCACATGCACCACCGGCGTCCAGACAGGGAGGGTGCCTTGTCTGAATGGGTCGGGCCAATGTTCATCGTGTTCACCAATGCTAACTTTCTTCTGCCAAAAGTATTCTAAGTTTAGTGTTTTTGTTCGGTTTTAAAGGCTTTTAAAAAGTCTTAGTCAAATTTGTACTCAGATCATTTTGTCTCTTGCTTTTCTCTTTTTTAATATATGTGTTTTTATTGATATTTTTAAGGAGAAAGAGATAGAAACATCGATGCGAGAGAGAAACATTGATCGGCTGCCTCCTGCACGCCCCTTACTGGGGATGGAGCCCGCAACCCGGGCATGTGCCCTGACGGAATTGAACCGGGACCTCCCAGTCCTTGGGACAATGCTCAATCCACTGAGCCACACTGGCCGGGCATCTCTGGCTTTTTTTCTGATGTTTACTAGTCTCTTTAACCAGATGCAACAGGACAGAATTATTCAAATTAAGCCTAAAATTCAGTTACAGATTCAGAAGCATAATGGTGTTAAACATTAAAATCGGCTATTAAAATGTACAGAACAGGTTTTTCTTTAGGAACAAACCTTAGAGAGTGAATCATTTTTTTTCCCTAAATGTCAGGTTAAATGTGTTATTTGTACTCAGAACTGTTATTAATAAAAATTAAACACACGCACAGAGTCAGCCCTCTTGGGCACTTAAAGTGTTTACCTGGAAATGTGATTAACTAAGAGCACAAACAGTGTCACGTGTCTCTCTGTGGGGACACCCAGTGTACCTCTTTGACCTCAGTGGAAACATCGTAAATGCACATGGTGGGGAGGGTCTCCATGCTAAGAATGACTTAATCGGTTAATTTGCGCATGAAATCAACACTGATCAAAATAAAACAGATGATTCACATTTTTACCAAAAGTATTAATTCTATAATAGGATCAAATGAAATTGCCGTCCAATGTAGAAACTTAAAAAAACGAGGCTTATAAGTGTATAACCTGATAGTAAATTAACTCTCCCGGTCTCTTCCCAGGCATATGAGACTTTCCACAAGATCTTCAAAATAAACTTGGTAACTTGCCCGTTAGACTCAGTTCCCGAGGGCACAGGGGCAGGTGGGCAAGCCCAGTGGGAAGCCCCCAGTTCCAGGTAAAACACAGACCCACCTGGTCACAAAGTGTAGGTTCCTGGAGGAGCTGGCAGTACAAGGGCGGGCAGAGCCCCAGGAAAGCGCGGGGGGCCGTGCTTGGGTCTTACCAGCAACAACGGACGGACGGCCGCGTCCTGGCCTCCGCTCTGCGCCAGCCCTCCTGGCCCTGCCCTGGCCAGTCCTTCAGCTCCCGCAGCACGGGAGCCGCGCCACACGGGAGCCACGGCAGAAGCCACGTGCTGCCTCATCTCCTCGCCCCCCGCTCGGTTCCACAGCGCCCTTGCAGTCAGCAGGACCGTGGGACCCCAGTTCTGGCCGGTGGCATGTGGGGAGAGCTGCACGCAATCCCCTGCCAGGCCTGGCCTCTGAGACCTGCCACAGGCCCCTGTGCCCGCCCCTCCCCCCTCCCCCCTCCCCCCCAAACACAGGGGCGGTGGAGCATCCAAGCGGGTGGGGGACCACAGGACAGAGTGAGCCCCGTGCCCAGACCTCTGCACCTCGCCGCCCAGGCGTGGGACGAGCAGTGGAGAGATCGGCATTTTTTTCACCAAAATTTGGGCTTCTTTGTCATAACCGATGGTTCCACTTCCTGTCACTCCAAAAGCTCCCGCCGTTGAGAGCCCCACGTGTGTCTGCGGCTGGCGCCCTCCACCTGGAGCCTGTCCTGCCGACTCTGACCAAACGGAGGCAACTAAGCCTTCTGAAGTCTTCACCACCAACTGGATTTTCCTAAACCACGAAATACATATTCATAACCAGCTTACACCACGACTCACGCGTGTCTCTGCTACCAAAATAGTCAAAGTAATGCTCTGGGATTACAGTGTTATTCTGGGAAAGAGGACTAGACGGGACTGACTTGGATCTGGGACCCTCTGCAAGGGTTCTGTGCACTGACTGGCGCGGGTGGGCTGGACGCACCGGCCCCCAGGTCCAGCTGCTCTCTCTGCAGGACAATAAAGATTTAAATCCGGGTGCAGAGGTTCTTGGCGAACCCAGAAACACGTATGTGGTTTGTATGTGGCCCCAGTACCTCCCCCAGAGATTCCAGGTGGCAGGGACCTTACATGACAAGCAGAGGTAACCCACTGCATTCCTATCTGGCCTTCCTCCATCGGGCTAGGCTTACTGGGTGTTGTCTGTATGCTCTGGAAACTCCTGATTCAGATTCCCAAACAAAAAAGCATTTCTTGACAGAAATATCTCTCACAAATTCAAACACATGTGGAAATTTCTGGTTCTTTGGATAACTTGACTTAGTTTACCCTTTATTGAGAAAAATGCTTAAGGAGCCAACTCATTGCGTGAAAACGTTAAATGTGATTGAAGCAGCATAGTGGGTGCTGAGAGGTCAGCTGAGGAACAAGCAGGGACTCATGCCTTAAACATTTTATTTTCACTGACAGCATATCAAATGTATCTCTTAGCCCCTCAGTTGATGGCTGGGGTCCTTTTTGCAGTCTGAATCCTCTACCTAGGATTGAGATGAGTTAGGATGACGTTTATGGTAAAAGAAAGCTCCTCGCTTATTTAAAGGCCGACTTGGCCCAACCACTTCATCTCCAAGCCACAAGCTTAGGGTCAATGAAAACGGCACCATCGCCTGACAGAGTCACACCATCTACACACAGCAGGGGCATTCCAGAGAAAAGCACTGTGTGACCAAGAGGACCTGGCTTATTTGATTCTTCAGTGATTGGCATGGGGAGAGGGCTGGGCTTTTCTCTAACAAAACACTCTGTAAGAGACAGAGGTAGAGAGAAAACCAAAGCAAAGATAAGACAGTGCTAGAGATACACATAGAAAGTTTATTTTCAAGGAGTTGTGGGGGATGAAATCTTCAGGTCAGGCTGGCTGGCTGGACACTTGAGAGTTGGTGCAACAATCTTGAGGCTGAATTTCCTCTTCCTCTGGAAATCTCAGTTTTTGCTCTTAGGAACTGCCAGCTGATTGGAGGATGCCCACTCACACTATAAAAAGCCACCTCCTGCCCTGGCCGGTTTGGCTCAGCGGTTAGAGAGTCAGCCTGCGGAACAGAGAGACCCAGGTTCGGTTCCCGCTAAGGTCACGTACCTCGGTTGCAGTTTGTCCCCGGCCCTGGTTGGTCGTGGAGATGGCAGCCACTCATTGTGTCCCTTCACATCAATGTCTCTCTCTCTCTCTCTCTCTCTCCCTCCCTCTCTATCTGAACAAAAAATGGAAAAATGTCCTCGGGTGAGGATAAAAAAAAAAAAAAGCCACCTCCTTCACTTCAAGTCAACTAACGAGGGTGTTAGTCACATCCACAATATACCTCCACAGCAACACCTAGATTAGCGCTTCATTACCTCCGTGGGAACTGCAGCCTGGCCAGGTGCACACAGAGAACTCACCACGAGCCCACCAAGGCTGGCTATGTTCCCCCAGGACGGTGGTGCCCAGTAAGCGTGCTGGGGCAGAGCACACCTGAGCAGCCCTGTCACCTATGATCGGGCAGACTCACCATCATCCGTGTCCACTCCTGACAACCTGAGCTCCCTGCTGAGCAGAGGGCCACGTTTGGGGCCCAATGAGTTCGAGGGCGGGGACCACACACAGTCTCTGAGGACAACTAATCTTGGATGGTGACCCTTTACCACCCCCCAAAACTATCTTATGTTTGGCGTGTGCTGAGTTCAAAGGCAGGCGAATAAATGTCTCTTGAAAAGACTTCC